GCTTGTTGCTGGCGGGTGCGGGCGTCTGGGGTACTTTTCTGCTGGGAGTTGCTTTTAGGCACGTAATCTGTGGGCCTTGTTTAATTTTTCCTCCCAGTTAGATTGCCGAAAACTTCCCCCAGTCCCGCCAGTGCGAGGGTTTCCTGGTGATTGGAAACTTCCTCTATTAAGACTCCCTTCCCGGGACGGGTGACCGTCCGTAGCTCTTTTGTCTCCCTTTTTATCTTTTAAATTTTGTCCTACCTCCCTTTGAAGACAATGGGCTGCTTTTCTGGGCGCCTGATGTCCTCTGCTAGCGATCTGAAGTTGTTTTGTGAGATTTGCTCAGCGTTCAAATGTTCTTTCGATGAATTTGTAGGAGAGAAAGTGGTCTCTCTGTCCTATTCCTCCGCCATCTTGGCTCCTCCCCCCTGAAAGATTTCTGAAGTTTTGACATTTTGTCTTTTGAGAAGTCTGTGGAGGAAATGATGTTGAGAGTCATAGCATTTACTTTTGATGACTTGGATTTGTGTTGAGTGTTTGGTTTTCTTTGACAGGAGAGAAGGGGACTTTCAAGGGGTGACTAGAGGGAAGAAGTAGGTTGTGGGATGGAGTGGCTGTTTGGCAGGGTCAGCAAGTGTTGCAGTTTTCTACCTTTAGTTTTGGGAAAGAAAATTGCTTTCCTTAAGTCTTACTCAGGGGAGAAGCCTCAGTGTTCCCCACCTCACTGGTTTAGGATTTTAACTTTTGCCTTAGGGAAGAGATGATTGGTAACATTTCTTCCAAACCAGCACCTTCAATAAGTGGCTGATGGTAAACCATGGACGAAAATTGTTTTTTAGCTTGATTCCAAGGAATGACGGAGAAGGCAATGGCAACCCACTCCAGTACTCTTGCCTGGAAAATCCCATGGATGGAGGAGCCTTGTAGGCTGCAGTCCATGGGGTCGTCAAGAGTCGGACATGACCGAGAAACTTCACTTTCACTGTTTACTTTCATGCATTGGAGAAGGAAATGGCAACCCACTCCAGTGTTCTTGCCTGGAGAATCCCAGGGATGGGGGAGCCTGGTGGGCTGCTGTCTATGGGGTCGCACAGAGTTGGACATGACTGAAGTGACTTGGCAGCAGCAGCAGCCAAGGAACATCCCGGCTTCTAGAGGGTAGAGACATTGCCACAGTGTCCGTTGGGGCTGAGACCCTGAGAAACTCCCCAGCCTGATTTCTTTGTGATGTTCCAACAGAGTCTGTGCTCTGTTTTCCTATTGTACTGATGTGTGAAGTTTGGGGTGGGTACAAGTGAATGCGTTTGTCCCAGTGTCTCAGTTCATAAAGACTTTTAAGAAGGTGATAAGAGTGTGTCTCCCATACGTGAACCATTTTGACTTTCTTTTAGGCTGAGATGTTGAAAGAACAGGGGGAGATGGATGGGCTGTCAGCAGAGCTTGTTAGTATGGAAGCAAATTTCTTACCCTTCTTCTGGTGCTAGTGATAAAGAACCCACCTGCCAATGAAGCAGTCATAAAGAGACACGAGTTCGATCCCTGGGTGAGAAAAATCCTCTTGTTGAGGGAAACTACGTGACTGCCTTGAGGAGAAGGTCCTTACAAGGAACTGGCGAAGGGCCGGGGCCGCCAGGATGTCTCAATGTTTTGCCCTGGGAAACATTTCCTGCACCTTCTAGCTGGTCATCACACAAGTTTAGAGCATGAACAGACCCCATGGACACTCCATACCCTTTAGCTTCATGTAGTTTCCCTCAACACCCCTGAAGAAGGAAATGGCAACCCACTCCAGTATTCTTGCCTGGGAAATCCCATGGACAGAGGAGCCTGATGGGCTACACTCCACAGGGTCACAAAGAGTTGGACATGACTGCAGCGACTTAGCACCAGCACCCTAAGAATCACTTGGTATTTTGCCAAATGCATTCTAAAGCACTGGTTGTAGTATTTATTGAGCTTCTAGAGTGTAGTGAGCACAAAGTACTATGGCTTCATTGTCTTTTAATGTAAAATTTTGGCTTAAGGTTAAAACTATTGTCTGCTTGTCTAATAGGAGATAGATATTTTCTTTTCAGGTGAATCATGAATGTAGTGTTTTGCCAAAAATGCCCTTTTAATATGCTAATGGTAAAAGTAAAGCTTGTGTTAAGAAAACTGGTAGAGCTTGCATTTCTAATTAAGCTTTTTTTCCTTTTAGGAAGGCACCAGAGTAGCTCAGCCCATATTTTTGGGGAAAATGATTAATTATGTTGAAAACTCCAATCGCACGGATTCTGCCGCTTTGCATGAGGCCTATGGCTATGCAGCAGGGCTGAGCGCCAGCGTGCTCGTGTGGGCCGTTCTGCACCACTTTTACTTCTATCACATTCAGCGTGTGGGGATGAGGCTGAGAGTAGCCGTGTGCCATATGATCTACCGCAAGGTGAGTGTCACTCGGTTCCACAGTGTGTACCTCCCCTGAAGCATCAGGAACATTTAGGGAAAGTTCTCTGTAAACAAAATTTTATAACTGGGTTCATTTATACTTTACTGGAAAAGCTTGCTATTTCCACCAAGTCAAGTTTTTTTTGTTGTTGTTGCTGTTTAAGCAAACTTCTCCAACATATAATAAAAAGTTTTCTACTGAGATTGGATCAGGGCTACCTTTTATGACTTTTAGCCACATAATATCTACTTTTGCATAATATCCACTAAATCTGTAATGAAATCTAATTAAAAAATTAAAGTATCAAAGGTATCCCATTGATTTTCAATGTTTTCATGCCTAATTCTCAGTGTAGGTATGGAGGCTTTCGGATGATCTCTTATTAATTAATGTTCCCTGTAGTCAGGAGTTCTCTGGTGTTCTCAGGTTTTGGGCTTAAGCCTCTTGCCTCTGGGTTTCAATCTTATTCTTCCAGTAGCCTCAAGACTTCTCTATCCATACAGCACTGATAATAAAACTTCTAGGTTAATGGTAAAAGGATTCTTGACAGTGAGGGACACCCAGAGAGGTTCACCAAATTACATGAAGAAGAGGAGAGGGAGGAAGGAGATAGAGGTGAGCAGGAGGAGAAAAGGGGGGAGTCAAGAGAAGAGAGACAGATCTAGGCAGTACTCTGTTCCCTAAGTGTTCTCCGTAGCCCAGAACACCCACAGAGATTCACAGAATTGGACTGAGAAGAGAAGGGGGAGGGAGGAAATAGAGGTGATCTGGGGGAGAAAAAGGAGAGTCAAAAGGGGGAGAGAGTAATCAAACCAGTAATCACACTCCCGAGTAAAAATGGGTACTGAAGGTTGGATTCTTAAATGTCTAAAATTGATATAAAATACCGAAAAACAAAGATTAAAAATCTAGAGTAGAGGTTAGACTCTTAAGAATACAATATTAAAAAAAACAAAAACACAAAAAATTTAAGAACTATATATGAAGTTTGCTTTAAAAATAGGGTCTTTTTTTTCAAGGTTATAGTGGGTTATAAAAATGAAAATTAAGGAGTAATAGAGGATTAATAGAGGACTTATAAAATTTTTTTAATTAAAAAAATGATAATAGTAAAAATATATCTAGGAATTTCTCTGGAGCTGTTGCTGGCAGTGTGGGTTTGATTCAGATAGTTTCTTGTTCCAGCTTACACTTCTCAGCATCTATAGGCCCCTTCCAGTGTTCAGTTCAGTTCATTCACTCAGTCATGTCTGACTCTTTGCGACCCCATGAATCGCAGCACGCCAGGCCTCCTTGTCCATCACAAACTCCCAGAGTTTACTCAAACTCATGCCCATCGAGTTGGTGATGCCATCCAGCCATCTTATCCTCTGTCGTCCCCTTCTCTTCCTGCCCCCAGTCCCTCCCAGCATCAGGGTGTTTTCCAATGAGTCAGCTCTTTGCATCAGGTGGCCAAAGTATTGGAGTTTCAGCTTCAGCATCAGTCCTTCCAATGAACACCCAGGACTTATCTCCTTCAGGCTGGACTGGTTGGATCCCCTTGCAGTCCAAGGGACTCTCAAGAGTCTTCTCCAACACTACAGTTCAAAAGCATCAATTTTTCGGCACTCAGCTTTCTTCACAGTCCAAGTCTCACATCCATACATGACCACTGGAAAAACCATAGCCTTGACCAGTGTAGTTGGTGTTAACTACAGGGATTTTAATCTGTTGCACCTACCCCTTCTAAAGCCGTCCCCATTGTTTATTTGGCTTCTGTTTGCAGGTCTCTTCAGTGTCTAATTTCCACCTGACACAAGTGGGCAGAGGTGGTCTCTTGTTTAGGTTCGCTTGTTCAGTCGTGCTGTGGGGTGGGAGGGGCAAGGCAGACAAATATCACTGGCCTGTGTGCGGAGCACTCACAGTGTTCCGGCCACACTGGGTTTGCCCCCGCTCATGGCGTGTGTGCTTTGCCCGTCTACACTGCTCAGGCTCCAGGTTGCTCTACAGGGAGCAGGCCCTGAGTTGCGTGCACTTCCCAGGCCTAAGCCACTGAGGTTCAGGTTTTCGGGTACTCCACAAAGGCGCAGACTCGGTTGGGCCTGCATTTTGTGCCTTCCCCAGTCTAGCAGCTCAGGCAACCAGGAGCTTGACGAGCGCACTCTCCCTAGTGCGCCTTATCCCCTCAGCGGTCCCAGCCTCAGTTTCTGTGTGAGCTGGTCTGGTGCGCCTTGTGTCTCTTCTGGGGAGTTGATCTCTGGCTTTGACCCTCTGGTGGATGTCAACCATCCAGAATCTCAGGAAGTCTTTGGTTAGAGACTGGAAGCCTGTTTGCAGTTTGGTAGGGGATGCCATCTCTGGGGCCCAGTTTGCCCCTTTCCCCTCCCCACTGCCTCCTGCCTCTGCGGAGGATGGGCCGGACTGCAGCTGGCTAGCTCTTTTTTGGTATTCGCTCAGTCCTTTGTTCTGGGAATGGGCGGGTAGTGCTTTATTTTAGGGCTTTTCCCAGGTTAATCCTCTCTCATGCTATCCTACAGTTTAAGTTGCTATCTCTTGTTAGCTCCCTCAGATTGCCCTCAGGGCTTTCTGGCTCGGTTCTTACCCTAAGCAATGCCGCCAGCTCCTCTCTGTTCAGCCCTCACTTGCTGGGGGCGGATGCGAGCGTCTGGGGTACTTTTCTGCTGGGAGTTGCTTTTAGGCATGTAATCTGAGGGTTTTATTTATTTTTCCTCCCGGTTAGGTTGCCCTCTGAGATTCGAAAATTTCCCCGCCGGTGAGAGGGTTACCTGGTGTTTGGAAACTTCCTCTATTAAGACTCCCTTCCCGGGACAGAGCTCCATCCCTAACTCTATTGTCTCTCCTTTTATCTTTTATATTTGGTCCTACCTCCTTTCGAAGACAATAGGCTGCTTTTCTGGGTGCCTGATGTCCTCTGCTAGCGATCAGAAGTTGTTTTGTGGAGTTTGCTCAGCGTTCAAATGATCTTTCTATGAATTTGTGGGGGAGAAAGTGGTCTCCCCATCCTATTCCTCCACCATCTTAGCTCCTATGACTAGAATTGTTTTAACTAAAGAAAAATATAAATAGAATCTATGCCATATACAGACTCACTCACTATATTCTATGATTGCTTTAATGGTATTAAAGAAAATAGTTGGATATTTGGGATAAAACTTGAAATTTTCCATTGTCCTTGGCAATTTTTGAGAGAATTTGTGGCTGTTCATTCAAATTATTTTCATAATTATTTCCTTTTTGTCTTTAGCATGAATTATAGCAGTTTTAATAAGACCTGATTTGATGTGTTCAGTGATTTTCTATTGAGAAATGCCATAGAATTATTTCATAGTTTATCCTAGTCTTAGCTAATATAAAAATAGTAAGGATTTCAGATGTCTTTACAAAGAAATTGCCACAGATATACTATGTCAGAAGCTAAAGACTCCGTATAAACTTGTTCCTGGGTCTATTGTTGCACTGGATTGTTTGCTTTTTTTCAAATCCTTACTTAACTGTATTGTATACTTGAAAGTTGCTGAGAGTGGATCTTAGTGATCTCATCTCATATGCACAAAATGATAACTACATGAGATGATGAATATGTTAATTGGTTTTACTACAGAAATTGTTTCCCAATGTGTATTTTTAACAAAACATCACGTTGCATACCTTAAATAGATATAATTTTTATTAAAAAAAAATCCTTATTGAAAACTAAGCCAAATGATTTAAATAAAAATTATTGCTTCTTCTACCTGGTTGCTACTTATCTAGAGATCCTGTTTCTTAGGAATGCTTTTCTTTGCAAACTGTAAGGTGTCTTCTCTTCTTTCCTCGAGCAGAGTCTTATTAATGTCAGGGCTATGTGAATCCAGGGCCCTGACATCTCACAGTCTGTGTTTGGCTATTGCACGTGAACAGGTTTCCTCTTGGGTGATGCGGAAATGGCAGCGGTGCCCGTACACCCTATGCAGGGATCTTCTTTGTCCTCCATCGTCATCTTGTGTACGTGCGTGCTTGCTCAGTTGCTAAGTTGTGCTCTGTGACCCCATGAACTGTATCCCGCCAGGCTCGTCTGTCTATGGACTTTCCCAGGCAAGAATATAAGAGTGCATTGCCATTTCCTCCTCCAGGAGAGGTAGATTTTTAACCACTGAGCCACCAGGGAAGCCCTATTCTCTTTCACAGTCCGCCATTTAGCAGATAAATACTTAGATTTCCCCACAAATTGTGTTTGTCTTCCTAGATCATGCTTAGCTCCCATGAATATGCATAACATTCATCATAACTATACTGTGAAAGCTTTAAGTTAGGTGTGAGGTGATGGTTCAGTCAAAGCTTACTCTTCTCTGTACAGGTGAGCCATAGTCTACCTGTTTTTCTTCTTTCCAGCTAACACTTTGTAATATCACCTTTGGGAAATCTGATCTGACCTGGCATGTATGCTTGTGTGAATGTAAATTTCTCCCAAAGGTGTTCATTTGCTGGCTTGATTATGCCAGAAAGAGCTGTCCCTTTATGAAGTCAGGAATTTTATAGGTTAAGCCATAGACTTAATCTGAAATTCAAGAAATGTGGGAAAGACAAATTTCCTTGTGCCTAGCCTTGCATCTAGGGCATCCCTGGTAGCTCAGATGTTAAAGAATCTGCCTTCAATGAAGGAGACCTGGGTTCGATTCCTGGGTCAGGAAGATCCCCTGTAGAAGGAAATGGCAGCTCACTCCAGTATTCTTGCCTGGAGAGTCCCACGGACAGAGGAGCCTGGCAGGCTACAGTCCACAGGGTTGCAAAGAGTTGGACATGACTGAAGTGAGTTAGCACTAGGACCAGCCTTGCATCCAGAATCCTGCTGAGGTGCAGAAATAAGACACTTCTTTTTTACAGGTTACAGGTGGGCTGATTCCTTGGGGCAAATCTGGTGCTACAGAGCAGCTCCGAACATTTGTGGTTCTTATTCAATTTCTAATCCCTGGTCCTGAGAGGAAATCACATTGGGTGTTAGAAATGGAATGGCTACTAAGCTCATAGTCGTAATTTGTCTGCACCGTTGATTCAAGTCTGGGGCATATCTCCAGGAGTTCTCTAAGGCTGTACATCTGCAGCTTTCTAAAGTGCCCCATTCAGCATTTTGGTGCTCTCTTCAGCTGAACTTGGAATGATCTTTCAGGAGGTATCGTATGTAAAATGACTTGTCGTTTATTCACATTTCTACAGCTTTGGTAAAATTACTTTTGGCTTTTTATCATTTATTTTTTAAATTGTGGCAAAATATACACAATATGACATTTACTATCTTAACTCTTTTTGAGTACACTGTTTATTCACATCAAGTACTTTCACATTGCTTTGCAGCCCTCGCCACTATCCATAGCCAGAACTTCCCACCCCTCACCCATCACCATTCTGCTTCTTCTCTCTCTGAATGTGACTACTCTAGGTGCTGTATATAAGTGGAATCACACAATGTTTGTCATTCTGTGTCTAGCTTATGTCATGTAGCACAATGTCTTCAAGGTTCATCTATGTTGAAGCTGGTGCCAGAATTTAATTTCTTTTTAAGGCTGAATAATATTCCATTATAGGTCTATACAACATTGTTTGTATCCATTCATCTGTCAGTAGATTTTTGGTTTATTTCCACCTTTGGCTATTGTGAACATTTGCACACAGGTGTGCAAAAAGACCAAGTTTGTGTGTTCAGTTCTTTTGAGTACATCCGCAAAAGTGGTCTTGCTGTACTAGATGCTGATTTTATGTTTACTTTTTTGAGGAACTGCTACACTCTCTTCCATCACAGCTATACTGTTTTACATTCACACTTGATTGCTGAGTTTCCTCTTTAACTCAAGGACTAGATGAGAAGTTTTTATGAACTATGACATTTTGTTTGGATCAGAGCCTCCACTTGATGGTTTGTTGAAACAACTTGTGGTGTCTGTTCAGCTTCCTCAGATTTCTAGGGCATTTTTCGGAGTCCCCCCTCCCCCAAATAAAGGGACTGTGAAACACAGGATGTGTTTTTTGAATTCAGAAGACTGGTATTAAGAGCAGAGATCCCTCACAGGAATAGTGTATTGAGCATTATATTTCAGAATGAAAGGGAATGAAGATTCCCTTTCATACACTTCAGAATGTAGAAGAAGCTAAACCAAAAGTGTTAAAATGACTTCACCCATAGAATTAATGATCGATTCCAGATTTGTAGTCCAAGTCTCTTATTTTATTTCCTTAATGTAGTCTCTCTGTTCTCATCTAATTTGCCTCAAAATTACTTTAGTTGACCCCTAAGTCGACGTCTACACCCTTTACACTTCAGGCAGGTCCAAGTTCCCTGAGGAACTGGGTGTGGGATTTGCTTCCTCCTCCCACTCCTCCCTTTGCCGTCCTTGTGGCCGAGGTTGCTGCCACACCGAGGAGAGGAAGGATGAAGGAGGGTCCCTAGAGCCCTGCTGTCATCCCGACACCAGGCAACACCCCAGGAACACATGCTCCATCGTGTTATGTTCTAAGATGACTTGGTATCACCTTAGGAATCCAGTTCTCTGTCTCCCTCTCTCATTTCAGGCCCTTCGCCTGAGCAGCTCAGCCATGGGGAAGACCACCACAGGCCAGATAGTCAACCTGCTGTCCAACGATGTGAGCAGGTTTGACCAGGTGAGCTGCTCCTGAGGGAGCCTCTTCCATGTCCCGTCCTTCTCACTGGGTTCAGCTTATTGGGATGCCAGGTGCCAGGGTTTGGTGTCAGCCAGGGCTCTGTTGAGGACTTAAGACAAGTATTCTCTTTATCTAACTCTCATTTCCTCTGTGCACCTTAGATGTAATAATGTGGGTTGTCCTGTAGATGAGGGTTTTGTTTTTCTAGTAACAGACAGGCAGCAGTGTTCTTGCCCGGCTCAGTGAGTGTCCCCAGCGGTCCTCCTGGCATGGCCCTTCTTGGCGCGTGGAGTCAGTGTTGCTGCCTGAACTGTCTCCCTCCTCCTCTGGCTGCTGAAGGCCTGCTGGGCAGGGGTGGTTCTTTCCCCTGTGCCCAGTTCAGTGCCTGCTGCCTAGGGAGCCTGCGAGGAATAATGCCAAGTGGGTGGCCCTCAGCCAGACACAACCTACTCTCTTCTGTCCCCTCACACTCTGTTTTTCCACTGACTTTATGAATAGATCACAGTATCCAGGGCCTTGTAGCTGTTGGTCAGATCTGTGTTGCACTAGACACTTCTCTTTCAGTTATTCATTCATCAAACATGAAGTAAGGCCACTACTCAGTTTCAGAGTTGAATATGATTTAGTTTTTGCTGTGGAGAAACCACAGCCCATTAGGTAGGTAAGCACACAAATAATTCCTGGAGAGTGTGGTACTTACCATAATATAAGGTTTTCTTGGGTGCTAGAGTGAGATGGGCGCGGAATATAGAGTGCAGTGAGAGGTTGGGGATGCCCTGAACTCATCTGTCGTGTAGACAAAATCAACATCTTCCTTCAGTACTGCTGGTCGGGTTCTCCCTGGACGTCCCTGAAGCCGGCCCTGTGCTGCCAGGAACAGCATCATCTGGAGTGGATACAGGTTTCTGCTTTAGCAGGTTTAAAACCCACTGAGATATCCTTGTTTAGGTTCCTATCTGTTCTTTCAGAGCGGATTGTTTCTACGCTGTGTATTTATTGATTTTGATTGTATATAGTTCTAAGAAGGCTTTGTCTTTCTCTTTTAAGGTAACGATGTTCCTGCACTATCTGTGGGTGGGGCCACTGCAGGCTATTACAGTGACTGCCCTGCTCTGGATGGAAATAGGAATGTCGTGTCTTGCTGGGATGGCGGTTCTCATTATTCTTCTGCTTTTGCAAAGCTGCTTTGGAAAGTTCTTTTCATCACTCCGGTAAGAGAAACACTGGTTTAAAAAATAGGTGATATGTGCTTGGTAATGTCCACAGTATGCCAATGAAGTCAACGCTTCTGTTCAAAAACAAAACCAATGCCTTCTCTAGTCTCTTCGTTGCATGGGTTGTAGACCCTTCAGGCTTAGCCAGTGGAGGCTCCAGCCTTAAGCTGAAGGCTGATCTTTAAAAAGAAAAGGTGATGACATTCACTGGCTCCTCCTGACACTGCACTTCACTACTTAGAGAGTCCTTAAGAAGAATTTACCAATATCCAAGTTATTTAAACATTATTAAAAAGAGTAATAATTTTACAGGCCCATTTCTAGCTGCATTTATTTTTGTTAAGCTTGTTTTAGAGCCACTTTCAGGTAGTGTATTTATGTCTTGTTTTATTTCAATGTTTGTATTAAGTTATAGGCACCCCAAGGGCAAGGTTGACCTTAATTATGTCTTTATAAAGCCCCACAGTCCCAGCAGCATATGTGATAGAACTGTGGCTGGTGATGAAGGGCCTAATGGTGATGAGATAGACCTGAAGCAGGTCCCAGAGGGTTGGAGGTGGGTCATTGTTCAGGTTTTCAGGTGATGGAGGTGGTGTGCTGATTGAAATACTTTTTCTTGGAGGTTTTTTGCATTTTTTTTTTCCTTTTCTGGTGACTTTATGTGTGGTATTTTCATCTATTTAGAATTTCCTTTCCTGTCTTTGGTATGGAGAGATGTTCCTTATCTTTCAAGGCTCTGTTCCAATGCTACCAGGTCTCTAAAGATTTTCTTGCTCTCTTTTCCCAGTGGAATTAACAGCCCCATCTTTTCAGCTCCCCAGAATTTTAATTTAATTTTTAAATTAATAACAATTTAATTTTAATTTTAATTCAGCTCCTATTTTTTTTTTTTACATCATAGACATTGTCTTCCTGTTACATCCCTTTCTGCCTTCTCTGCCCAAGCACAACTTCCTTGGGAAGATGGTTTGTATCTGACTCATTTCAGGTCTTCCTTAGCTGATATAGCAAGTTCTCCAAGTTGCTTCTTGAACTGGACTGAATGGTTGACTTCCTAGTTTAAGTTTTTCTCAATCTGTACTTTGAATAGGACTTGCCTGTGTTGTCAGCTCAAAAGAGCTATAGAAAATAATTTGATCACTGATCCCTCCCTGTGCCCACTGTTGCTGCCACAGAAAGTTGGGCTGTGATCACTAAGGCTCATCTCTCATGTCTGTCCCCTCAGGAGTAAGACCGCAGCTCTCACAGACGACAGAATCAGGACCATGAGTGAAGTTATAAGTGGCATCAAAACAATAAAAATGAATGCTTGGGAAAAGTCATTTATAGACCTTATTTCCACACTGAGAAGGTAAGTTTTTTTTTTTTTTAATATATCACAGTGTATGTTTGTACTGTTTTATTTCCTGTTTTTACTAAATGGATTAGAAGTCTTACCAAGTTTTCACATTAAGGTAAATTTAAATACTACCCCTCCATCCCCCCATATGTGGCAGGAGGGTTAAGGGAGATAGTAGAGATGTCATTTTAAGCTGCTCTTCCATTTACCATCATCTTGAAATACATATGATTCTTACTTATACAGAAATGAAATTCCAAATACTTCTTAATTCTGCAAATTCCAAATAAGCAATGATTCTAAGATATTAGTGTTTGAGATGATATTTAAACGAAAGCTATAATATATGTATAGCTAATATATTATATATAGCTATAGCTATATATATTATAGCTAATATGTATAGCTTATAATATAGCACAAATGGGGAGATTATAGATTGAGTATACCTGTATTAGGCCAAACATTATAAATCAGTATTACTCATTCCAAACAGAGCCATGAAAATACTATTCCTTTGTCTTTGCTTTATGTTTGTAGATTTAAAAAAATGTTTCATTTAAATACCTGATGAGTGTTTATACTCGAGCATGGGGCACTTAGAATTCCCTGGCAGTACCCTGTCACCTCTCACTTTGCATCTTTGTGGGGGCCCCGCCCTCTGCTGGAAATACACTCTCATCTTCCTTCTTCTCTGGTCTCTGCCAGTCCTGACTGACTCCTGCTCATCTTCTCAGGGTCCACATGTGTGTGACTTGTCCCATCTCTACTGCTTTGAGTTACATGACCCTGTTCTGTGCTCCTGTGGGGATGTGCTGACTGCCTTTGTCTAATGTCTTGGTGTCTCAGAAATTTTGTGTTTATTCTTTTTTAAAAATGTACACACACATCATACTACATCTTTTTTATTTCTTTACTCACTTATTTTTGGTTGTGTTGGGTCTTCATTGTTGCGCACAGGGTTTCTTTAGTTGTGGTGGGCGGGGGCTACTTTTTCACTGCTGTACTTGGGCTTCTAATCGGGGTGGTTTCTCTCGTTCCAAAGCTCAGGCTCTCGGTGCGCAGGCTTCAGTAGCTGCAGTAGCGCACGGGCTCTAGAGCTTGGGCTCAGTAGTTGTGGCGCACAGGCTTAGCTGGTCTGCAGCATGTGGAATCTTCTAGACCAGAGACTGAGCCCATGTCCGCTGCATTGGGAGGCCAATTCTTATCCACAGAACCATCAGGGAAGTCCCGGGGTTTATTATTCTTTTCCTCTCCAAGTTCATGAGGTCCTCGTGGGGGTGGGCATTTTTTTCTGTCATCAATGAGGAGCCCAGCACAGGACATGTGGTTGTGAATGCTTGTTGAATGTATGTTCAAATCCTGTCGGATTAAGCCCAGTTTTTTAAAAGTGTGACATTAAGGCTTCATTTAGTTGGAAAAGTGAAGTGGTGATGAAGTGCGTAGTCCTTGGTTCGGAGCAGAGTCCCAGTTGTGCACTCTGAGTGTCTCCATGACATGACTGATGGTTTACCTTAATCTGTGTCCACTCCCTAAAAAGGGGCCACTCACAAAAGGGCACTTGAATTCATGTGTTGGATGTCAATGGTTCTTAAAAATGCTTTTTCCCACTGTCCTTTCTAGGAAGGAAATTTCCAAGATTCTGAAAAGTTCCTACCTTAGAGGAATGAATTTAGCATCATTTTTCGCTGTCAGCAAAATTATGATTTTTGTCACCTTCATCACCAATGATCTCCTTGACAACCGGATCACAGCCAGCCAAGTGTTTGTAGTGGTGACACTGTTCGAGGCTCTGCGGTTTTCAAGTACCCTGTACTTCCCCATGGCTGTCGAGAAGGTGTCAGAGGCCATTGTCAGCATCCAAAGAATCGAGGTTTGGTGACAAATAACTTTTTTTCCATCGCAGGTGGATTCTTTGTAAATTGCCTCCTTTTTTGTGGTGTCACTGTGTTCTAGTTAGGCGAGATTTACCTCTCTGAGTGTCAAATCTGCCAATCATTTCAAACTGTCTTACTTATTCCTGTCTCGTCTTAGGTAGAATGCATCACAAAGAATGTAGGATCCCTGCTTATTTAGGGGCAATGATATCAATAGCAGTGGCACAGGCTCTAAGTGCAGCAATGCCTGCAGGGCAATTAAAGTGACTAAAAGCAAGAGAAGGAAGGAAGCAGACTGCATCTCCTGTGTTGACTCAAATGAGATTTGTGTGTGTGTGATAAGGTTTCTATACTATAAAAAACCTATTACCCATAAAACAGATCAGTCATACTGGGTCATTTCTGATTCCCTGAGTTTATCATTCTTATGGGACTTCTAGTAACACTAATAAGGGATGGTCCATGCAGCTTACGTAATTTCGTTTTCATAGCTTTCATGTCTTGAAATAAGACATTTAGGAATATCCTTGGACTGTAGTGATGTAATGAGTGACATGGTAATTTGTTCAAGATGGAAGCTTCATGTGTGTGTTGTGCAGCTGTGGTTTTCTTATTGTTGATATTAGTTAAATTTTCCTTAAGGCCTTTAACTAATTGGATGTGACCCACCTACATTATTGAAGATAATCTGCTCTATGCTTTACTGAGAGTCTACTTATTTAAGTGTCCATCTCATCTGAAAAATACTTTCACTGTAATATGTATTTGAACAAGTGTCTGGGGACTGTGGTTTACCTAAATTAACATAAAAGTAACCATCACACCCTCTTGAATCCCTATCTTCTCCTTTGAGCTCTTGGACATGACTTTGTCCTCATTAAGCTAGGTGTAAATGGATTTCTTTCTCTCCCTAAGCTCCGGACTTACCTAAAGGGCAGATACAGTGCCTCATTCATCTTTGTAGTCCTTTCAAATAGCAGATGCTCAGAANATAGTTCCTGTCCTTTTATTTAGTTCCTATGCTGTTATCTAACTGGTAATAGACGATGATTGGATGTTCATTTTCTTCCTCAACCTGCCTCTCACTTAGGTGGGTTAATGTCCAATTAGAAGGTGAAAAGGGCAGCAAGAGTGGAAGAAAAGTTCAGCTGAGTTTACTGACCAGGTGGTTAGAGCTGGGTAAGGTTTGACCACAGATGGGCTGGAAGTGTGGTGGACATGAGGAGTTTAGAATACAGTGTGGGGTTGAGGTCTGCTGCCCCACTGTCCCCCGCAGCCTGGGACTCAGTTGACTGGATGGTCATCTCCTAGGATTTCTTCTTGGGTCATATCTGGGAGTCCTAGGAAGGAAACCCACCACCCCTGCCCAGCTTGGAGGGGGTGTGGTAGCCCATACCCACGGGCATACCTACACGTGGTCTTCATAGTTTTGTGTCTTCTTGTTTATAAATGCTTTTCAATTTCCTTTTTTCATATAGAGAATATGAGGTTTTACTATGATTTTATAGGTCCAAGAAGTCCCTCTATTTTTTTTTTAATAAGAAAAGGGGTCTGAAGGCCTTGGAATTGAATGACTCCACTAGGATTGTAAATATCTTGTCTCTGAAGCACTGAAAGTCTTCAGTGATTTTACATGCCATAAAATGTGTCTCTGAGGTTATATTGTTCATAAAGCAGATTTTCCATTTCCAGCCACTGGGAACTCACACTTTTTATAGTTCTGATGTTGACACTTTCCTGCAGAACCTGTTCTGGGTCTAAGAGAAATTTAATTTCAGCTTTTGCATTAGCCTGAGTCCTGGAGAAGAATCCAGCCAGCACTTCTGCACCTTCATGAGTTGGTCATGTGCTGAATGGAGTGTCATTTAACCCCTGGAAGACTGTGACTCTTTCCCTACTCAGACCTATTATTTGTGAACAACACTCAGTAGATTTAATTCCTTACTTAGGTCATGCTTGTTCTTTACTTTCTTCTTTTTTTGAAAGTGGAAAATTTCTGTTTCACTGTGCTCATACTTAACATTGTTTTTTTTGGTCTTAGTAACACATTTAAGCTAAAACTGGAATTTCTGTCCAGACAAAATGTATAACATGTATGTGTAACCTTTTGCTTGTTGCCATGTTAGCTCAGACTGTGTAAGGCTATAGTAGTCATGCAGTCAGTGTTTCTATTGATTTGAACCAGCCCTGCAGTCTGTTCCTTGCTTTATCCATGAGGGGTTGACTCTGTGCAAAGCTTGGTCTCAGTTGGAGTTGTGACTGTAGGTGCATGAATGATGTAGTGTCTCCCCTCTGTGTGACTTACTATCTCTCTCGGGATTCAGAGGTAGGGAGGGCAGTGCCAGCCTGGATTGTCCTGAGTGGTTCCGTGGAGGGTTAGCGTTTGAGGTTGACTCAGAGGATGGATGGGGTTAGTACTCAGGGCATCCAGGCAGAGTCCACCTGGGGAGTGTGGACTTAGGTGCTGATGGGTCTCTGGGTGTGTTAAGCATGATGGAAACTCAGAGGTGCTGTAAAATCCAGCCAGCACTTCTGCACCTTCATGAGTTGGTCATGTGCTGAATGGAGTGTCATTTAACCCCTGGAAGACTGTGACTCTTTCCCTACTCAGACCTATTATTTGTGAACAACACTCAGTAGATTTAATTCCTTACTTAGGTCATGCTTGTTCTTTACTTTCTTCTTCTTTTTTTGAAAGTGGAAGATTTCTGTTTCACTGTGCACATACTTAACATTGTTTTTTTTGGTCTTAGTAACACATTTAAGCTAAAACTGGAATTTCTGTCCAGACAAAATGTATAACATGTATGTGTAACCTTTTGCTTGTTGCCATGTTAGCTCAGACTGTGTAAGGCTTTAGTAGTCATGCAGTCAGTGTTTCTATTGATTTGAACCAGCCCTGCAGTCTGTTCCTTGCTTTACCCATGAGGGGTTGACTCTGTGCAAAGCTTGGTCTCAGTTGGAGTTGTGACTGTATGTGCATGAATGATGTAGTGTCTCCCCTCTGTGTGACTTACTATCTCTCTCAGGATTCAGAGGTAGGGAGGGCAGTGCCAGCCTGGATTGTCCTGAGTGGTTCCGTGGAGGGTTAGCATTTGAGGTTGACTCAGAGGATGGATGGGGTTAGTACTCAGGGCATTCAGGCAGAGTCCACCTGGGGAGTGTGGACTTAGGTGCTGATGGGTCTCTGGGTGTGTTAAGCATGATGGAAACTCAGAGGTGCTGTAAAGAGATCAGGAAGAAGTGGTGTTGGGATCGGTTTGGTGGTGCTGAGGAGGGCTGGAGAAGGAACTGGCAAAAGAAAAGTTGTATTAATATTTTCAGTGGTTAATAGTGGGTAGAATTCTGAAATTATATTGTTTTGAGAGAAAAGCATTGGGAGAGGGATGAGCTGTGTCAGAACAGGTGAGAGCTGGTACCTGGCTGACTACAGAAGAGGTGATGTGGACAGAGAACTCAGGCTGTGGTGGTTGAGGGTCTGCAGAGAAGTCCTCAGCCCACCATCCGTCCACCCTGTCTCCTGCTGGACTCAGGCTCAGGGCAGGTAGGAGGAGCCATGGCCAGTGTTACATTCTCAGTGAGCCTGGATGAGAGGAAGAGGGAACGAGTGGATGCCGTCTCCCACCAGCTGGTCTTTGAAAGAGATGCAGGGATCATGATGTCTTTCTTTTCCTGCACAGAAGCAAGTTTTCATGTTCGGTTTTTACCAGTTGTTCTTATTTTTATTATTTTATTTTATTTTTCATTTATGTTTATTAGTTGGAAGCTAATTATTTTACAATATTGTAGTGGTTTTTGCCAAACATTGACATTAATCAGCCATGGATTTACATGTGTTCCCCATCCTGAACCCCCCTCCCACCTCCCTCCCTATCCCATCCCTCTGGGTCATCCTAGTGTACCAGGCCTGAGCACTTGTCTCATACATCTAGTTATTCTTCTGCAGTAGACGATTGCAATCACATTTATGATTCGGGGGCATGATATTCTGGGTGTCAAGGACTTGAAGTGTGTTTATGATTTTTAGGGTAATAGGTTACTGTTTATGTGTTGTTTTCTTTCTCGCACATCCTCAAATGCTTATTTCAGTTTCCCCCTGTGTTGATTTGTACTCAGTATGCCTATGAGTCCTAAAATTGCCCATTTTAAAACTGCTTACACAAATAGTTTATTTTTTTCTCATGCAAGTGTCCTTATAAGGCTCTGTATGGGTTTCCTGGGGCTGCTGTAACCAAGTACCACAAACAGGTGCTTAAAACCTCAGAAATTGATTGTTTCTCAGTCCTGGAGCCTAGAAGTCTGAAGTCAAGGAGTCAGCAGGGTCACCATCCCTCTGAATCCTGCAAAAGGGAATCCTTCCTTGCCTCTGTTAGCTTAGGTTGTTGCAGGAAAACCTTGATCTCCCTTGGCTTGTAACTGCCATCACTCCAGCTTCTGTCTCCATCATCACACGGGCATTTTCTGCCAGTGTGTGTGTCTCTCTGGTTTTCTCTTCTTATAAGGACACTAATCATATTGGATTTGGGGCCTACCCTACTCCAGTGTGGTCTCACCTTAATTGATTACATCTGCAGCAACCCTGTTTTTAAGTCATATTTTGAGGTAATAGTTTAGGATTTCAGCAGGCTTTTATCTATTTATTTATTGTGGGAATCATCCTCCATGGTGTTAGGGACTCAGACTCTTTCTTTTTTTTTAAACAAAAATTTAATTTTATCTGTGCTGGGTCTTCATTGTTGCACAGATTTTCTCTAGCTGTGGCAAGCAAGCTTCTCATTGCGGTGACTTCTCTCATTGTGGAGCATGGGCTCTAGGTGCCCAGGCTTCAGTAGTTGTGGCACTTGGGCTCTAGAGCTCAGACTCAGTGGTTGTGGCACATGGGCTTAGTTGCTCTGTGGCGTGTAGAATCTCCTGGACCAGGGATCAAACTCGTGTCCCTTGCATTGGCAGGCAGATTCTTATGTACTGCATCATTAGGGAGGTTCCAGACTCTTTCTGTTACTCCATTGTGTATGGCCTTGACCAAGCTGGCAGCCTCCAAAGCCCAGGCCATGGGGCGGAGGAAGGTTCTGGACATTGTCACTCTCCACTGACCTGGATTTAATCACGTGGCTGCTTCTATCTCTTGGGAGCCTGGAGAGTGAGGGCCTCCTTCCAGGCTGCCACTTGCAGCTAATATCTGGGGTTTGGGAAGAATGAGAGCAGATTTTGAGGACAGCCAGCAGTCTCTGCCACACTTTCATGGTTCCTGGAGGAGGCGATGGCACTGGGGTTGTCTCAGTTGTTTACTCAATTTCTCTGCCAGAGTAGCTTTTCTTGTTGGGTTATGTCTAGCATTTGCAGGACAGGAGGGAGTTTTACTGCATAACATTATGCTAGCTTTGTAGTGGTTCTCAGGAGTTGGTTTTAATCAGCTACATTCCACTGAGTAACTGCTAAGCAGTGTGAACAAAGCAAGAAGTGGGAGCTACAGTCATTCCTGTTGTAGGAGAGAGGGCAGTGATCAAGAAGAAGAGACAGTGATTGTGGAAAGATGCTTGTAAAATATTTTTAAGAGAAATTTAAGAGCATTTCATTTTAGAATAACAACTTAAGTGATAATTAATGGAAAACAGTGATACTGACTTAAAACACATTAGGAGAAAGGCAGAGTGTGTTTAAGTGTCTAGGGAAAGGTCATGATGCAAAACAGGCATCGCCAGGGTTTTCGTTTGGCATCTCTGCCATTGGTCTTGTTGTCCCAGCCTGTCCTGTGCCCCTTGATGCCTGAAGGCCTGGGCAAGGCCTTCCTTGCTGTGTTACTAGTAGTATCACAGGGTGCCTGGCACCTGGTGGGGTTCAGCAAGTATTTGTGGAATACTTTCCTACCAGTTCTCCTGTTTGTTGTTAGTAACTCAAAAGGTAAACAATGAAAATGTCCAGGTTCTAAATGTGTTGAAGTTTGGAGTCATATTTTCTCTTTAAGGAAGAACCAGTATACTTGTTAAGAAAGTCACTACTTTGCTCATGGCCAGGAACTGTTTTGTTATACACACACACACACACACACATATATATGTATGTATATATTTATATGGGGCTTCCCAGTTGGCACTAGTGGTAAATAACCTTATGTTTATATGGCTTCCTAGGTGGCGCAATGGTAAAGAATCCTCCTGCCAATGCAGGAGTTGCAAGAGATGAAGGTTTGATCCCTAGGTTGGGAAGATCCCCTGGAGAGGGAAATGGCAATCCACTCCAGTATTCTTGTCCAGAAAATCCCATGCAGGTCTCAAAAGAGTCAGACTTGACTGAGCAATTAAACAACAGTGTTTATATATAAACATATATATATATATGTGCTTTATATATAAATATGTTTATATATACACATGCATATGTATATAAAACACTCTTTGCATACCACATATACTATATTATATGATTATATATACCATATGATATATATTATTCTATATAATATATATTATTTAGTATGTTCTGATATGAAACAGAACTAGTTTAAGTACAGCTGACAAAATATGTCAGCTGTATAAAATCTTTTATTACAAATTCCAGGAAAGCAATTATTTTTGTTTGTGCTTTGTTCTTATAGTTTAACAATCTGTGTTTCTCCTTTTTCTGTAGAACTTCCTATTACTTGATGAGATACCACAGCTCAACCTTCAGCTGCCATCAGATGGTGAAACGATAGTGGATATGAACGATTTCACTGCTTCTTGGCATAAGGTAACAAGTCCTCTACCCCAAGATCATGACTACTAATTGACAACTGAAGACATAGGTTTATGGGAGAATGATGAGGTTTTCTACATGGTGTAAACTGTGATTTGCTCATTTATTGAGAGTATGTTATAAAAATTCTCAAAATCAGGAATCAGGTTTGCAGCTAATAGAGATTACATGTAAAATCAGCATAAGAAGTTTGACATGTTGCTCTTTATTTCATTTTCAAGAGAGCTTTCAAAGTATTAGCACATTTTGAATTTAAAGTACATGTGTTTATAATGTTAGAATTTAAAGAATTGGATGGACAAAATGCTGCAGTGTGGAATGGTTTAACTAATGAATAAAGTTGTTAAAGAGGCTTTGGGGAATCAGTGTACATTTTTTGCCTTAATCATCAGATCACTTTATTGTACATGCAGTGAGGCCATGATCTGGATCTTTGCTGTGGGGTAGAGTGGGGGCTCTCCCATCCTAAGCTTCTGGATGATTCTGGCTACTTTCGTAGCAGCCAGGGGCAGGAAGGAAATAGCAGGTGGGCATAGTGAACCCCAGTGATTCTTAGTTGAAGGGTTGCAGTGTGTGGAAACTGACAGGGAGAACTGGTGATTTTCCAACACTTGGTTTATTTATGACTTTCTGACAAACCGAAAAAAGCAAGGGTCTGCTTTCAAAATTGCACATGCAATGCTGCCTCCTTTACCAATGATTGAAATGTTCCTGCCTCCCTGGTTCCCTGGTCCTCTGTGCTCATCCTCCTGTATCAGTGTGGATCAGTCAGGAAAACAGAACCTCACCACGGGAGAGGGAGTTCCATGCAGGGAATTAGTTACATAGATGATAAGAGTGGGTAAAAGCAGAAACAGCAAAATGGTGGTGGGTGAGACAACCCAGAAATTAGCAAAGGCAGGAAACTGTTCCCACCGAGAGCTGGGAGGACTCAGGAAGATGTCTCTACCAGAGGATCCACTGTCCAGAGCAGAGCTCAGGAGCCTGGCTGCTGTCAGAGTGGGGACCATAGAGTAAGTGTCTAGGCTCTGTAGACTCCTCCTGTCTTTCATGCCTGTGACTCCGTTTTGCCACCTGCATGGTGTTCACCAACTTCTGATTTAAGTGCCTGCCATCTCCATCAATAACACAGTAGTATAATATGTTCCCAAATATATAAAACCACATCCCTGTACCATTTGCACATGGAAACTCACAGAAGGTGTCTGACCTATCCTGAGAGTTTCTCATACCTTATTCCAGTAGATTTACCTCCTGTTTTGTATTTCTCATCACAGTATTCTTGAAGCATTTATGGAAAGCACTAAAATTCCATTATAAATACCACTCCATGTGAATGCTAACACATATTTTTTAATGACCCATTACCAAATTTCTTTTGTACCAAATTATGCAGCATTTTAAAATGAGCTATTTTGTTTTTCTTTCAAGAACTTAATAACATGTTCTCAGACTTTTTTGCAACTTGCATTGTAAAACAGAACAGCCTATTACGTTGTCCTGGCCTTGCCTATGGAAGGACTATGCCCCTTGCTGGGGTCATTAGTAATTATGGCTGTCAGGTTAGATCTTGGGTGAGAGATCCCTTGGACGGGGGACACAGACATTGGGGTTTTAAAGAGAAGCTGAATCTGAATGTAGCCCCTGCTGGGTTGGGAGGCAGGATATGGACATGAACTCTGTAACCTGTTCCACTAGACACCAGGTGGGCAGATGGGCAGGTGGGGGCAGGTCTCAGGGACCCAGGTCTCATTCATGAAATGATGGAACTTGGTCTCAATCTTGAAGCTGTAAAATAAATGGTCCTATGGGAGCCTCCATTTCTTCATGGGGCAGGGGTTTTCAACTATGTCTGGTACAGAGTGGGGGCTCAGCTAATGATCCTTGTTGAGTCCGCATCCCCTGAGTCTGGATAACGGAGTTGACTGGACCCAGCACGTCGGCGCTGCTGCATACTGCCCTCTACTGGTCTCGGCAGAGTAGTGCCCGATCCTGAAGCCTGAACAGGGAGGGAACTGTGTCTGACCCTGGGAAACTGAGGGGTGGGGACAGGGAGCTGACGTTGCTATGTGACTCATTGTTTTTCAGTCATAGCTGAGTAATAAGTAATAAAATAGGAACCCTATGCGGCAGAAAAGAAGAAAGAAGTGGAGAAGGTTAAAAAATATTTCTTATGTTTTAACATGTAGCTTCTTCTTGGTAGATTTATACTTTCTTTAAAATCTGGGGCTAGTGTTTTTGACCATGCAAAATAATTGTCATTTTTTAGCATGTGAATGCTTTATAATTAGTTCATTTATTTCCAGAGAAAATTTTCATTTTGAGGAATATTCAGACTTTTAAATTCAGAGTCATGTTTTTAGTCTTTGGGGCACTTTAGAGTCAAGTGTCACCACTCAGTTTTCTTTTTTTAAAGCATTGGCAGCTATTGACAATTTTCTTAACACTTTGATATGTAAAACATACATGAAGCTGTCAGTCTCTCAGGAATGTGACTTGTTATTGCACAGTGATTGTCTGTCCTCCGCTGCCCTGGGTGGGGGCCCAGCCTGCGTGTCTCCAGGGTCTTTGTTATTTTGTTCCTTTGGGCTTCCCTGGTGGCTCAGGCAGTAAATAAGCTGCCTGTTTTTCTTCAGTAGAAGTACTGTATTACCTCCACTGAGGCAAGACAGGTAATGCATATAAATACATAAAAAATTGAGGCTTTATCATTTTGATTCATCACGTCATAATTAACTTATTCCTCATATTTTGTTGTTGGTGATGGTGGTGGTATTAAATTAGAGGTCTTGTTAAAAATTAGAGCTTGGACCATTATTAATAACACTTAATTTGCCAAGAATGACTATTATATAAAATACCCCTTTGCTTGCTGAGCACTACTGAGGTTCATTCTTTATCAAATGAAAGTGGAGAGATTAGTGGAGATTTCAAATTATTTAATTACAGGGCCAGGCATGCCAGTAATTTATGCTGCCACCTTGTGGGGATTGATTGATGCTTTTGAACTGGGGTGCTGGAGAAGACTCTTGAGAGTCCCTTGGACAACAAAGAGATCAAACCTGTCCGTCTTAAAGAAAATCAGTCCTGAACATTCATTGGCAAGACTGATGCTGAAGCTGAAGCTCCAACATTTTGGCCACCTGATGTGAAGAACTGACTCATTGGAAAAAACCCTGATGTTGGGAAAAATTGAAGGCAGAAGAAGGGGATGACAAAGGATGAGCTAGTTGGATGGTGTCACCAACTCCATGGACATGAGTTTGAGTGTGCTCTGGGAGTTGGTGATGGACAGGGAAGCCTGCATGCTGCAGTCCATAGGGTTGCGAAGAGTTGGACACGATTGAGGGACTGAACTGAATTGAACTGTGGAGATTAATGAGACAGTTAAAACCAAGGGTCATGATGAAAACGTATAAATGATTAAAAACCTCCCAAGCTGAATATTCTATTAACTGCATTATATTAATAAGCTTATGTGCATTATACAGTTTGCGTTTCAGGCAGGTGCCTTGTCATTTCTACTACTAAAATTCTGTGGGTGTCTAGAGCTATGTCCTTATGGAAATCTGATAAAAGAATGATCCTTGTTAATCCCCAAAGAGATATGAATGATTGGATGAAAAGGCTTCCGGGACTTTCTATCTTAAAATAGGAAGGAGAAAAATGTGGATTACATTAGCATATCAATGACTATTATGTAATTTTCTCTACCTTCTGAAGTAATATATGTTACTTTATTGAAGTGGGCACATTTTTATAAACTTTAATTTGCAGGCATCAGAGACCCCAACCCTACAAGACCTTTTCTTTACTGCCAGACCTGGTGACCTGTTAGCTGTGGTTGGACCTGTGGGTGCAGGAAAGGTAAGTTGTGATGCCTTTTTTCAGCTTGATGCAACACCACTGCCCTTGTTAAATTCTCAGAGTTGATCCCAGAGCTGTGTGTCACACAGTTTGAATTGGGTGTACCTAGAACAGCGCTTCTCAACCTGTTCCATGGAATATTAGTTTTGCAAGAAGGTTTCATGGCCAAATAAACCTAGATAATCACAAACTGTGTTTTCTTTCTTGGTGCTTCACACTGCACAGTTGGGAACCATTGTCAGGAATTTGGACGTCTCAGTGAATGAAATTATTGATGTGACACCTGTTTAGGTTGGATGGAGAGAGTGGGGACTTCTTTTCATCACAGTAGCCCCTCTAGGAAGTCTGGAGATGGTGAAGGCTCTTCCAGGAAGCTCTGAGCATTTCCTCATGTGACTTGTTGTGATCCTTTCAGTGGACATGTAGTGAATATTCAGCCACATGCTGGAGCTAAAAACACAGATGTGAACCAGACCCCAACATCTCTACCATCCAGAGGCAACCAGGTTCGAGGGCGAGACAGATACATAGGCAGTTTGTTTCAGCCCAGTGTGGTGAGCACTCTGATGGTGTAGACACAGATATGTCACTTCTGTGTGTTACAAGAGATTTGAAAGACATGTGCACTTGTCTTTCTTGTCCTGTGTTATGAAACAACAAAATACAGAAACCTAAATGTAAGATGTGTACATGAGAGGGTGCTAATTTCCTCTATGATGGACTTTTGCTCTGTAGACACAACTCATTTCAGAATTATTTTAAGTAATCTTCTTTGGATATATTCTTCATGCATAGCTTTTTAAGAATAAGTGTTTGTCAAGTGAAGGATACCTGGATGCAGGAACAACTGCACTAAACATCAGGTACATGAAATACACATCCTGCTGGGCTGCTCTGCTAGTGAAAGATGTTAAACATTCTTAGTTTTTGCTGAGTGTAGTGCTTCATTTGGGGGCTCCTCTTGGGCAGAGGAGATTGTTATACTATTTTATTAATATTCCTTATCAACCATTCTTTTTCATTGACCAGTAGTGTTATTTTCAATTGTTTTTGTTCAAATTTCCAGGGCTGTACTTTATCCTGTTCTAAATGCAAGGGTTCTATTGTGTATCAAGCACCAGGCTGGGGTCGGCTGTGCTATGGGATGTGCTCCATCCTGAGTGCACCCTGTTCACGTGTGTGTGTTGCTGTCTGTTTCAGTCGTCACTGTTACGCGCTGTGCTGGGGGAGCTGCCCCCGAGCCAGGGGAAGGTCTGTGTGCACGGGAGGATTGCGTATGTTTCTCAGCAGCCCTGGGTGTTCTCAGGAACTGTGAGGAGTAACATTTTATTTGGGAAGAAATATGAAAAAGACCGATATGAAGAAGTAATAAAGGCTTGTGCTTTGGGAGAGGTGAGTAATGACTTTTGAGAAGTATGCACTAGAATTTCAAATGACAGACTTGGTTTAAACAATCAGTAAAGTTTGTTGAAAGTTCTTGTTTTCTTTATAAGTTTGAAAGATCGTTCAATGTTGTTTAATGTTTACACCGGTCTTCTGAGTAAGTATGCCGGCACATATGCTACTCCTTCAATCCTGATGTCATAAGGACACTTACAGAATGCCCTGTTGAGGAGGGAATTGTTTCACTTTGTGAAGTTTCATTCACTTTTAACTTATTTTTCTGGTGGACAATTACAAAAATGTCTAAAATTAGAGTGCACAGTGTAATGAACCCTCATGTACCCACTCCCCAGCTTCAACCAGGAGCCGCTGGTGGCCAGTCTTGCTGCATCTTCACTCCTGCCCTCTGTCAGTCCCACCCCCACCCCAGGTCATTCTGGAGCAGATCCTAGACCTCAGATTAGTTCATCTGTAAAGATGGTAAAGAGTCTGCCTGCAATGTGGGAGACCTGGGTTTGATCCCTGGATTGGGAAGATCCCCTGGAGACGGGAATGGCTACCCACTACAGTATTCTAGCCTGGAGAATTCCATGGACTCTGTAGTCCAGGGGTTGCAAAGAATCGGACACAACAGAGTGACTTTCACTTTCACTTTCAAAACTTCCCTGGTGGCTCAGACGTTAAAGACCCTGCCTGCAGTTCAGGAGATGTGGGTTTGATTCCTGGGCTCGGAAGATCCCCTGGAGAAGGAAATAATTATCCACTCCAATATTGCCTGGTGAGCTACAGTCCATTGGGTTGTAAAGAGTCAGACACCACTAAGCGACTAACACACAAACATTTTACTAGTTTTTCTCTAAGAGATAGGAGAGCCTTTGGAAAAACATATTATTTCATCTGACAAATAACCCAAATTCCTCAATATTATCAACCTTCTAGTTTACCTGTTGCTAATCATCTCACTGAGAAGTCTCCGGTACCATTGGTTTGAGTCAGACTCCACATGAGGTCTGCCCGCTGCACTTGGCTGGTACTTCCTCAGTCCCTTTCAGTCTCCAGGTTTTTCTTTCCACTTGGTTATGACTAGTATTTTTATTTAAAGAAAATAGAATGCTTTAACATTTCTTTTTAATACTGCATTGTTTCACGGGGGGAGAGATTGTTTTCAGAAAAGACTCTGTTTCACAGAAAATGGCAAGGTGAAACTCTGAAATTTAGATGAAATCAGTGAATGAATGGTGAAAATGAAATTACCTGATAAAACAATATAATCTGGCAAAAAAGAAAGAAAAATGTGAATACTGATAAATACTCTGTTACTCTCTTGGGTTATAAAAATCTAAATAATAGCATTAAAAGGTTTCTCCTCCCCAGGCCTGTTCAGTGCAGTGTGTTCTTTTGTACTGTGAGGAAAAGATTGGGACGGTGTTTGAAAGTTAAGGTGTTAAAGGCTCCAAACTCGCTTTGTGAAGCAATAGTAATTTTGCTTGAACAATGACTTGAACATCATAGATTGTATCAGATGAGTAGCATTTTGTGATGATGTGAACAAAACAGAATTGCTTGTTTAATGCTCTTGTTTCTTTCTCCTGGGTTGTTGTTAATGGGAGATCTTTCTTTTGTGGAAGTGATATTGTTACTGAGTCCACTCTTTTCATACTGTGGACTCAGTAATAATATCATGAAGCACAAGCTGGAATCAAGATTTCTGGGAGAAATACCAATAACCTCAGTTATGTAGATGACACCACCCTTATGGCAGAAAGTGAAGAGGAACTGAAGAGCCTCTTGATGAAGGAGAAAGAGGAGAGTGAAAAAGCTGGCTTAAAACTCAACATTCAAAAAACTAAGATCATGGCATCCAATCCCAACACTTCAGGCAAATAGATGGGGAAACAGTGGAAAGAGTGAAAGGCTTTATTTTCTTGGGCTCCAAAATCACTGCAGATGGTGACTTAAGCCATGAAATTAAAAATGCTTGCTCCTCGGAAGAAAAGCTATGACCAACCTAGACAGTGTATTAAAAAGCAGAGACATTACTTTGCTGACAAAGGTCCATCTAGTAAAGGCTATGGTTTTTCCAGTAGTCATGTATGCATGTGAGAGTTGGACCATGAAGAAAGCTGAGTGCCAAGGAATTGATGCTTTTGAACTGTGGTGTTGGAGAAGACTCTAGAGAGTCTCTTGAATTGCAAGGAGATCCAACCAATCCTAAAGGAAAGCAATCCTGAATATTCATTGGAAGGACTGATGCTGAAGCTGAAGCTCCAATAATGTGGCCATCTGATGCAAAGAACTGACTCATTGGAAAAGACCCTGATACTGGGGAAGATTGAAGGCAAGAGGAGAAGGAAATAATTGAAGATGAGATGGTTGGATGGCATCACTGACTTGATGGACATGACTTTGAGCAAGCTCTGGGAGTTGGTGATGGACAGCGAAGCCTGGCATGCTGTAGTCCATGGGGTCTCAAACAGTTTGACACGACTGAATGACTGAACTGAACTGAGTCCAAGCTCACTCTGCTCGCTGCACTGTAGGCCAATAAGTCTGAGATGAGGTACTGAGAAAAGGACAGGACTTCATTCAGGAAGCCACTGACAGAGAAGATGGCAGGTACAGTATCAGTTCAGTTGCTCAGTTGTGTCTGACTCTTTGACAAAACATGGTTCACTGGAGATGGGAATGGCAAGCCACTTCAGTATTCTTGCCTTGAGAATCCCATGGACAGTATGAAGAGGCAACAAGATAGGACACTGAAAGATGAACTCCCCAGGTCAGAAGGTGCCCAGCATGCTACTGGAGATCAGTGGAGAAACAGCTCCAGAAAGAATGAAGAGACAGAGCCAAAGCAAAAATAACACCCAGTTGTGGATGTGATGGTGATGGAAGTAAATGAACCATATTGCATAAGAACCTGGAATGTTAGGTCCATGAATCAAGACAAATTGGAATGGGTCAAACAGGAGATGGCAAGGGTGAACATTGATATAGGAATCAGTGAACTAAAATGGACTGGAACAGGTGAATTTAACTCAGATGACCATTATATCTACTATTGTGGGCAAGAATCCCTTAAAGAAATGAAGTAGCCATCATGGTCAACAAAAGAGTCCGAAATGCAGTACTTGGATGCAATCTCAAAAACAACAGAATGATTGCTGTTCGTTTCCAAGGCAAACCATTCACTATCACGGTAATCCAAGTCTATGTCCCGACTAGTAATGCTGAAGAAGCTGAAGTTGAATGGTTCTGTGAAGACCTATAAGACCTTCTAGAACTAACACCCAAAAAATACGTCCTTTTCATTGTAGAAGACTGGAATGCAAAAGTAGGAAGTCAAGAGACTCCTGGAATAACAAGCAAATTTGGCCACGGAGTACAGAATGAAGGAGGGCAAAGGCTAACAGAGTTTTGCCAAGAGAACGCACTGGTCATAGCAAACACCCTCTTCTAACAACACAAAAGAAGACTGTACACATGGACATCACCAGATGGTCAACATTGAAATCAGATTGATTATATTCCTTGCAGCCAAAGATGGAGAAGCTCTATACAGTCAGCTAAAACAAGACTGGGAGCTGACTGTGGCTCAGACCATGAACTCCTTATTGCCAAATTCAGACTTAAGTTGAACAAAGGGAAAACCACTAGGCCATTCGGGTATGACCTAAATCAAATCCCTTATGATTATAGAGTGGAAGTGACAAATAGATTCAAGGGATTAGATCTGATAGAGTGCCTGAAGAGCTATGGACAGAGGTTCGTGACATTGTACAGGAGACGTGATCAAGACCATCCCAAGAAAAAGAAATGCAAAAAGGCAAAATGATTCTCTGAGGAGGCCTTACAAATAGCTGAGATGGCAGGTTAGCACCTCAAAATAACCATCTTGTCAGGGGCAGGATGCCAGGTTCTTCTGTGAACCAGAGATGGTTGGAAGTGAGGAAACAAAGTAAAAAGATCATTTAATTCTTGTGAGTATCTTATAAAGCAACAAGCCACATGCTGGGAGATATGTTAGTTTCACTTCCTCACAACCCTTCACAGGTGGGCATGGTCAGGCTATCTTCTTGAGGCAGGCCATTATGCATGCCTGCAGTAACAAATGTGGCAAAATAAGGATTAAAGTCACAGAAGCAGATCCAGTATGAATTCATAATTCACCCTTTCTGGTTACAGTATCAAGGTAGCAGGCATGAGCTGGATTTTTACTAAATGCTGTTTATAATGTGGTGATCCAGTGGTTAAAACCCCATGCTTCCAATACAGGGGGCATAGGTTCGACCTTTGGTCAAAAGCTAAGATCCTACATGCCACGGGCGCAACCAAAAATTTAAAAACAATTTAAGAGCAAATATATGGACTTGCCTGGTGGCTCAGATTCTGCCTGCAATGTGGGAGACCCGGGTTCAATCCCTGGGTCCAAAAGATCCCTGGAGAAGGGACTGGAACCCACTCTAGTATTTTTGCCTGGAGAATTCCATGGACAGAGGAGCCTTGCCTGCTGTAGTCCATAGGGGTCGAAAGAGTCGGACACAACTGAGCGACTAATGCTCTACTACAAATACTGTGTAAGAAAAGGGGGAAGCAAATGTGAACAGAACAGCAGCTCCCATTCAGAGTCTACATGCAAATCATTTTCTCTCTCTCACACATGTGTGCATACACACATAAGAAGGTATGTAAGTTATTCTTTATGAGTGTCCTCGATGTTAAATTCCTCATTTTTGGCTGGCAAAGCTGAAGCTTGGGGATGAAACAGCCGTCCTTAACATTTGGAGCTCAAGTTCAGATCTGTTTCTGCACAACTCTAGACTCCATGCTTGTCCTCGGTGCTGTGCTGGCTTGAGGACATTTAAAAGAAAGAAGTTTTTAAAAAGCAGGTGATGGATGAAGGTGGGAGGTGGGATGTGGAAAAACAAATCTCAGGCATTTCCTCTTTACCTTAATCATGTCCAGCTCCTGATGCCCACATCAGACTCCAAAGACCCAGGCCAGGTGTGAGGGTTTCTCTCATGACCTTGCCTTTCTGGTGAAGCTCAGCCCTGTCTTTCTCTCCCACATTTGAGCATCTGTGGAGAAGAGCGGCTGTGGGACAGTGGCTACCATTCAGCATTTTCCTCAGGGGCCATCGTCCTCCCTGGGGGGTGGTGCTTTGCTGCAGCCACATGGCGTGACTGGACCAGTAACGTGGACTGTGTTCTGAGGCTTCCCTCACCCTGGAGCATCCATGCAGCAGATTCTGTGAGAAGGGGCCCTGCAAGACTGGGCTGCACAGCAATTCTTCTGTATGTGATGAGACAAATATTTACAAAGATGGACTGCTCTCCTGTGTGCATGGTTAGGACAGAGTTGGGGCCCCTCGTGCCCATTCTCTCCTTGGCAGGAAGGGAGGCCTAGGGCAGAAGAGTGACTGAGAGGGGAGTCCTGGACCCGGCTGTGTCACTTGCCTGCTATCACTTTGAACACGTCCTGTTAACCTGCCTGAGGTTTCCACAGCAAAATGAGGACACTGGCTCAGCAGTCTTCCAAGAGGTTTTGCTGCTGCTCTGAAATGCCCTCTATGACTGATTAGCAAGTAGCAAGAGGTTAGCAAGGTCTTTGCAGCACTTGGGAAGCATTTAATGAGTTATGAGAGCCTCTGCTTATCTCCTTTTGGAATCCACGTGTCGGTGGATGGACATAAGACGGTCACAGATAGTAGAGGTGTCTAGAGTTATTTTGGGCTTCCTCGGTGGCTCAGTGGTAATCTGCTTGCAATGCAGGATCCCTGGGTCGGGACGATCCCCTGGAGGGCATGGCAACCCCCTCCAGTACTCTTGCCTGGAGAGCTCCATGCACAGAGGAGCCTGGCGGGCTGCAGTCCATGTGATCGCACAGTCAGACACGGAAGTGAGTCAGCAGCAGCCGCGGCAGCAGAGCTGTCTTGGCCTGAAGATACAGAGACCCCACGTGTAGTGGAAAAGGTTGGCCTTCAGAGAAGAATGGTCCCAGATGGTAGCTCCAGGTGTTTGCCTCAGTTTCTCCTCTTATTAAATGGGGGAGGGGTGGGATTACCCTAAAGGCTGCAGGCCACGCCTGTGAAATGCAAACAAGTCTGGGTTTCAGTTAATGGTAGCAACTGTTACTGACATAGCCTTTTTCTCTTCATTCTTCCATACTTAAATGCATATAAATATTATACAGATTTCTCCTTACAGTTCTCCCTATGCTCACATCTGCCTAATCTTGGAGGAAAAAATAGTTTAAAAAAGCGAAATTTTTTGTGTTACATTAAACTAGATCTAATTGAAGTAAACCTTTAAGTTCATTGAGCTGAAAACTTTTCTGTAATAAAATAGGGAGATATGAAGTAATCACATTGAGAATATCAATTCAGACTGATGAGATAACTCCAAGGTCCAGGAGTCAGCAGGCTCAGGGATTGAGTCTCAGTTTCTCTATTTACTAGGAGTGTGATCAGTCACCAATAGCAAGTTATCAATTCTTGTACTTTTTTCCATTTATGGAGGGTTTTCCTACACTTTAGATTCTCACAGCATCCTTGAGTTTAGTGACTCTTGTTTCTGAAGCACATTCTGTAGAAGACAAAAGTGAGACTTAGGAGATCAAAGGATTTGTTTATCATGGAGACCCCGGTGTGCCACTTGCTTCCTCCCCAAATTTGCTAAAGTAAAGACAAAGAAATCAGTGCTGCTTGTCTATGCCAGGGTCTGTCCAGTGATCATTACAGGCAGTCTAAAATTTCTAATATAATAACTGTGTCACTTAAACTTGATTGTTATCTTGTGGTTTTGGGGATGTTCTTGTCATTTTTTTTATTTCCCCAGGTATTCTGGGGAAAATAAACAGATTTGTCTATTTGTTTCTTAAATAGTATTCAAATAAAACTTAGGATAGATTCCCCAAATCTCAAATCAAAGCTTCATATCCTTCTTAACTTTGAGTATTTTCTGCTTCCATGGGCAAGCGTCTACTTGGTTTAGCTGATCTGCTCCCTGTTCCTTGAGTACACTGTTTCCCTTTAGTTTTTCCTGTCCAGCCTGCTTTTTTTTTTTTTGCTCCTTTTCCTTGTATACTACTTGTCTGTCACTGTATGACTGGTCTTAAGTATCACTGTGAAGACGCCAGTCAGGTCTTATTCCTTCTGTGGAAGTGGGATGCTGATATTATGTTCAGGAAATTGGAAATTTAAGACACACTCATTCCCTGATAAAACAAGTCCTGTGCCTTCACCACCCTGGCCACTAGCTTTCACACCTGCGTCTCTAGCACAGACCTTCACACTTGCATGTCCAGCTGCACCGTGATATCACCATGATATCATCTCACCTTGTCCACAAGTGAAGTCTCCTAGACCAACATCCACCATCTTCCCCAACTCAGTGAATGGAGGCCCTGCCCTTCCCCTTCCTCATCTCAGACACCACAGTCTCCTCTTCTCTTAGAGCCTGCTCCCATCTGGTCAGCAGGTCTTACAGACTCCACCTTCCAAGTGTGTCTGGAGTGTGGCCCTTTCGCTCCATTCCTGCTGCTCCCACTCTGGTCCTGACCACCATAATCTCTCTCCTGGATTATTCCAGTTGCCTCCTCACTTGCAGTCACCCTCACCCATTCCCCTTTACTGCCTGTTTTCCACAAAGCATAGAAGTGATTCTTTAAAAAACCTCAGACCAGGTCAGTCCTCCCTTCTCCCCCTTCCCCTGTTACTGGAGTGACCCCAGGCTCCTCCTGCTCTGTCTCCGCCCTCACTCCCCTCATTCTCACTCAGCTCTCCTGCTTCCTTGTTCTGAACCTCTTGGGCATCTCCCCGTGGCCCCTGCACTCGCCCCTCCCTCTGTGAGGAGCAGCCTCTCCAGGTCTGCCTGAGCCCCTCCCCCAGATCTGCTCACACCCACTCTGAGCAGAGCCCTCCCCCCACTGTGGACTCACTTCCCTCCTTCACTCTCCATCCCCCTGAGCCGGCTTGCTTTTCCTTCCTGTCCTCAGTACTTGCACTCAGGTTAATTTCTTATATCATCCATCTCCCACCATGGAAAGAAACTCTGGGACTTTGTTTCTTTGTGGCTGAATTTTGTTTCTTTGTGGCTGAATTCTTCCTGCCCTGAATAATGCCTGGTGTATAGGTTGATCTTCAATAAATGTGAAAACAGTCAAATGCATAAATGCTGTGAAAAACTACAGAATGAAAACAAATGAGAAACCAAAGAGGTTTTTGTTGTTGTTGTTCAAGATTATAGTTTAGTCACTATGAAACATTCCCATTGCTCTTGATCAAATACTTGTATGAAGAACTTGTACTAAAGGATTAGGAGGATGGGAATTCCCTGGTGGTTCAGTGGTTAGGGCTCCATGGTTTCATGGCTGAGATTGTGGGTTCAATCCCTAGTCAGAGAACTAAGATCCCACAGGCTACATGTTTTGGCTAAAAAAAATAAAAATAAAAAAAATAGGATGAGAGGAAAGTGAAAGTCACTCATTCATGTCTGACTCTTTGCAACCCCATGGACTATATAGTCCATGGAATTCTCCAGGCCAGAATACTGGAATGGGTAGCCTTTCCCTTCTCCAGGGGATCTTCCCAACCTAGGGATCAAACCCAGGACTCCTGCATTGCAAAGGGATTCTTTACCAGCTGAGCCACAAGGGAAGCCCAAGAATACTGGAGTGGGTAGCCTATCCCTTCTCCAGGGGATCTTCTCAACCCAGAAATTGAACTGGGGACTCCTGATTGCAGGTGGATTCTTTACCAACTGAGTTAAGAGAGGAGAACACATTTTTTTTTCATTTATTTTTATTAATTGGAGGCTAATTACTTTACAATATTGTAGTGGTTTTTGCCATACATTGACATGAATCAGCCATGGATCCACATGTATTCCCCATCCCGATCCACCCTCCCACCTCCCTTCCCATCCCATCCCTCTAGGTCTTCCCAGTGCACCAGCCCTGAGCACTTGTCTCATGCATCCAACCTGGGCTGGTGATCTGTTTCACCCTTGATAGTATACTTGTTTCAATGCTATTCTCTCAGAACATCCCACCCTCGCCTTCTCCCACAGAGTCCAAAAGTCTGTTCTGTACATCTGTGTCTCTTTTTCTGTTTTGCATATAGGGTTATCGTTACCATCTTTCTAAATTCCATATATATGTGTTAGTATACTGTAATGGTCTTTATCTTTCTGGCTTACTTCACTCTGTATAATGGGCTCCAGTTTCATCCATCTCATTAGAACTGATTCAAATGAATTCTTTTTAATGGCTGAGTAATATTCCATGGTGTATATGTACCACAGCTTCCTCATCCATTCGTCTGCTGATGGGCATCTGGGTTGCTTCCATGTCCTGGCTATTATAAACAGTGCTGCGATGAACATTGGGGTGCACGTGTCTCTTTCAGATCTGGTTTCCTTGGTGTGTATGCCCAGAAGTGGGATTGCTGGGTCATATGGCAGTTCTATTTCCAGCTTTTTAAGAAATCTCCACACTGTTTTCCATAGTGGCTGTACTAATTTGCATTCCCACCAACAGTGTAAGAGGGTTCCCTTTTCTCCACACCCTCTCCAGCATTTATTGCTTGTAGACTTTTGGATAGCAGCCATCCTGACTGGCGTGTAATGGTACCTCATTGTGGTTTTGATTTGCATTTCTCTGATAATGAGTGATGTTGAGCATCTTTTCATGTTTGTTAGTCATCTCTATGTCTTCTTTGGAGAGGAGAACACATTTTAAATCTTATTCTCTTTCCCTTTTCTATCTCCACACAGGATTTACAGCTTCTGGAGGATGGAGATCAAACTGTGATAGGAGAAAGAGGAACCCCGCTGAGTGAAGGACAGAAAGCCCGGGTCAGCCTCGCCAGGTAAATGGGGTTTCAGTTGCCATCCTGCCCCTCCTCCTCCGCGGCTCCTAGTGGATGTGAGCAGACAGACCCTGCTCACTGGGTGGGCCTGTGTGAAGCAGGGTCTTGGTTCTTTCCGTGGACTCTTGGAATGAACATGAAGTTATTGGACACCATCATGATTCAGAGATGAGACCCAGGCAGTGTGACGTGTCCTCTCCTGACGTCTCTCTACGTTTTCTAGAGCCGTGTATCAGGATGCAGACATCTACCTCCTGGACGATCCATTCAGTGCAGTGGACGTGGGAGTCAGCAGGCACTTGTTTGAACAGTGAGTTTGCTCCTGTGTTTCTATCATCTCTGCTTTCAGGAGCCCTACAGAGATGAGGGCAGAGAGCTCAGGAAAGTCTTTGTGCTTCGGGAGACTCAGCTCACTCTGCCCTGATGCCCCTTCCCCCCCTCCCTTCCCTCCTCAGAAGATCCATCCTAGAGAAATCTTGCATCATGATGAGGTCAAGAAAGGACAATAAAGCAGGTGTTCCAGTGTGTGGAGACCAGTGAGGCCCATGCTTCAGGGAATTAGGGATAGGTGGCAGATTTCCCCCTGCGAATTGCAGTTGATGGATCCAGACCCCAGGAATAAGAAAGATGATATACGGTTTTTAAGTCAGAGAACAGGACTTGGTAACCTGGTACTTGGCTGGCAGTTCTTTTCCACCATCCTTTTTTTTTAAATTGTATTTATTTATTTTTAATTGAAGGATAATTGCTTTACAGTATTTTGTGGTTTTTCTGTCATATATCAACAAGAATCAGCCATAGCTACATCCATGTCCCCTCTCTCCCAAACCTCCCTCCCATCTCCCACCCCATTTACCCTCCGTTACTGAGCCCCTGTTTGAGTTCCTTGAGTCATAAACAAATTCCCATTGGCTGTCTGTTTTACACTTGGTAATGTCAGTTTCCTTGCTACTCTCGCCATACATCTCACCCTCTTCTTCCTTCCCTCACCCCCATGTCCTTAGGTCTTTTCTATATGTCTGTTTATCTGTTGCTGCCCTGAATATAAATTCATCAGTACCATCTTTTTACATTCCCTATATATGTGTCAGTATATGATATTTATATTTCTCTTTCTGACTTACTTCACTCTGCATAATAGGCTCTAGGTTCATCTATCTCATTAGAACAGACTCAAATGCATTCTTTTTTATGGCTTAGTAGTATTCCGTTGTATATATGTACCACAGCTTCTTTATCCCTTAATCTGTCAATCCTCCATCATTTTTTTTAAGGCATGTGAGAAGCAAAGTTTTCAGTACTGACTGGAAAGACCCTTGGTTTATGCTTATTACTCTGTAGGTTTGAAAATACTTAGTAAAGTAAAAATAATTTATTTTACATCAGAGTCTGTTCTCTAGGTCTGTAAATCTGTTTTTTGTTTTGTAGTTAGTTTCATTTTTGCAATATTTTATATTCCACATATGAGTGATATCATATGATATTTGTCTTTCTCTTTCTGACTTACTTCACTTAGTATGATAATCTCCAGGTCCAACCATGTTTCTGAAAATGGCGTTTGTTCTTGCCTTTTTTATCCATTCACCTGTCAGTTGACATTTAGGTTGTTCCCATGTCTTTGGTGTTGTGAATAGTGCTTTTACGAGCATAGGGGTACATGTGTCATTTTGTGGTTTTGTCTGGATATATGCCCAGGAGTGAGATTGCTAGATTATAAGGTAATTCTATTTTTAATTTTCTGAGAAACCTCCAAACTATTTCCATACCAACAGTGTAGGAAAGCTTTATTTTCTTTGTATCCTTTCTAGCCATTGTTATTTTAATGATGGCCATTCTGACTGGTATGAGGTGGTACATCACTGTAGTTTTGATTTGCATTTCTCTAATAATTCATAATGTTGAACATCTTTTCATGTGCCTATTGGCCATCTATATATATATATACATCCTTTGGAGAAATGTCTATTTAGCTCTTCTGCTAATTTTTCAATTGGGTTGTTTGTTTTGTTTTTGTTATTGAATTGTATGAAATGTTTGCATATTTTGCAGATTACCCCCTTGTCAGTTGCATCATTTGGAAGTATTTTCTCCCATTCTGTATGTTATCTTTTTGTTTTTTGATGGTTTTCTTTGCTGTGCAAAAGCTTGTACATTTGATTAGTTCCCATTTGTTTATTTTGCTTTATTTCTATTGCCTTGGGAGACTAACCTAAGAAAGCGTAGATATTATCTATGTCAGAGAATATTTTACCTGTGTTCTCTTCTAGGAGTTTTATGGTGTCATGTTTTAAGTTGCTAAGTCATTTTGAGTTTATATCTGTGGGTGATGGGGGGTGTGTTCTAACCTCACTGATTTCCAAGCTTGTGTCTCTGCCCTTATGTCTTGGTCTCCTCGTCGTCTAAGCACACCAGTCAGATTAGATTAGGCCCGGAGTAATTAAGGGTAACAATTACTCCTTTAAAGTCCCTTCATGAAATTCTAAGGTACTAATGGCTAAGATGTCAACAAGTGAATTTCGAGGGGACAGGACTGATTTACAGCAGGTCCAGAATAACAAAGTAGAAACTTAAGCAGAGTCAGCAGATGTGTGAGGAGCTCTGACCTCTGGACACGAGGAGCTGGGATTCCACATCCACTGAACAGGGGTTGTCAGACTTTGATGGAACCTGCCCGTCTGAAAGACATGCTTAGTGCTGGACTGATGAAAGAGTTGTGGAGATGGATATTGGTGATAGCTGCACAACAATGTGAATGTCCTTAACACCACTGAACTGTATGCTTAAAATGGCAGAAATGGTAAATTTCATGTCAGGTGTATTTTACCACGGGCTTTCCCTGGTAGCTCAGTGGTAAAGAATCCACCTGCCCAGCGGGAGATGCAGGTTGGATTCCTGGGTTGGGAAGATCCCCTGGTGAAGGAAATGGCAGCCCACTCAAGTATTCTTGCTTGGAGAATCCCATGGACAGAGGAGTTGGGTGGGCTACAGTCTATGGGGTCACAAAGAGTCAGCAATAACTTAGGGACTGAACAACATCAACAACATATTTTACCACAATTAAAAGAAAAAAAACCTGCGTAGTAGAATCGAATCTTTCAGAACCCGAGGTAGCAGCGGAGCTGACACATAGCATGGCCTCCAGCTCTCTGATCTGGCCACCCTTTCTCACCCTCTCTTGATCCTGACTGGATGAATTTTCCCTTAGAGTAGTGCCTTGTGACTTGTCATGAGTTCAGTGACTGGCGCTAGTGCTGTGACAGGGATTACCCGCCCCCACCCTTCTGGCATCATGAATAGCTTAGGCTCCCTCTTCCCAGGACCCTGACCCGAACCTACAAATATCTGTCACCCCATCTTATGTGAGGCTGCACAAGTTCTCCATCATTTCCTGAAAAGTTTCTGCTGGCCATTGCATCTGTGTCACGGGGAGGGGAGAGGGAGGCATTCTGTTTGCTGAGAACAGTGTGCTGATCACAGTAGTTCTCCCAAGTTCTTTTTCGAACACAGGAAGTATTTGTAAAGTTTCCTTAAACAGTTTGGGTTTAATGACTCTGGATGTACATTTGATGGAAGCAACCTTGTTTAGATTATTGCTTGCTAATCACAGCCAGATTCTCTAGGGAAACTTAGAACGAAGGCAGTTTATGAAATCACTCAGTAGCAACGGGAGAATGTTCTCTAGTTAGAAAGTTGGATGGAATAATATGCTATGAGTGATGGTGGACATGTCGAATCTTAGTAACGGGGTTATTGTTCAGTTGCTCAGCCATGTCCAATTCTTTGCGACCCCATGAACTGCAGCTCGCCAGGGAGTATGTTGTATTAGTAATGGGGAGTGTTTTGTATTAAAAGTGAATGAATCACACTCTATTTGCTGTTAACAGTTTCTTTCAGTTGTGAATATACATCCAAGTTTAATAAGGTTCTGTGAATTTACACCTATATGTTGCAGACATTATGTGGGTTCTATCACCTACAGAAGGTTAGTCGCCTTAGGGAAGCTGATGCAGTGTTACCTGTGTCTCGCTTGGATTTTAACATGTTTCAGCCCCACCTCACCAGACCCCTGCATCCTGTGTCATCAGGTCTTTGGGTCTGTCCTGATCAGACTCCCACATTGCTGTTTACACAGCTCACCCTCCTGCTCCAGCCCTTCACAGACCCCCCACCAACCATGTTCAGGATGCAGCGCCAGGTCCTCAGAGAACAGGCTTCTTTGCCGTCTGTTATCCCAAGTTCTTTTTCGAACACAGGAAGTATTTGTAAAGTTTTCTTAAACAGTTTGGGTTTAATGACTCTGGATGTACATTTGATGGAAGCAACCTTGTTTAGATTATTGCTTGCTAATCACAGCCACATTCTCTAGGGAAACTTAGCACGAAGGCAGTTTATGAAATCACTCAGTAGCAAGGGGAGAATGTTCTCTAGTTAGAAAGTTGGATGGAATAATATGCTATGAGTGATGGTGGACATGTTGAATCTTAGTAATGGGGTTATTGTTCAGTTGCTCAGCCATGTCCAATTCTTTGCGACCCCATGAACTGCAGCTCGCCAGAGAGTATGTTGTATTAGTAATGAGGAGTGTTTTGTATTAAAAGTGAATGAATCACACTCTATTTGCTTTTAACAGTTTCTTTCAGTTGTGAATATACATCCAAGTTTAATAAGGTTCTGTGAATTTACACCTATATGTTGCAGACATTATGTGGGTTCTATCACCTACAGAAGGTTAGTCGCCTTAGGGAAACTGATGCAGTGTTACCTGTGTCTCGCTTGGATTTTAACATGTTTCAGCCCCACCTCACCAGACCCCTGCATCCTGTGTCATCAGGTCTTTGGGTCTGTCCTGATCAGACTCCCACATTGCTGTTTACACAGCTCACCCTCCTGCTCCAGCCCTTCACAGACCCCCCACCAACCATGTTCAGGATGCAGCGCCAGGTCCTCAGAGAACAGGCTTCTTTGCCGTCTGTTCCCATCAGCCTTTCCAGCTGTGCTGGCTTTGTGGGAGCCCTTTCTCACCTCTCCCTGGAGAAGGGAATGGCTGCCCACTCCAGCATTCTTGCCTGGAGAATCCCATGGACAGAGGAACCTGGATGGCTACAGTCCATGGGGTCGCAAAGAGTCAGACATGACTCAGCAACTGACACTTTCATTTTCACTTTTTTCTCACCCCTGTCAGTCTGTATGTTCTGGTCCCTCTGTCCCCAAGCCAGGGAACAGTGTGCCAGGGCACAGAAAGAAGGTGAAAAATGGGCCCTGCCATTCCCCCTGCTCCTCCAGGGGGTACCTCTGCCCCCTGTCTTCCCACAGCCCACAGAGGGCTGCACTTGACCATTTATGAGTACCCCCTGAACCCCCATAAGCTGTGAATGCAGGAAGATACCTCAGCCCGGCTTGTTCAGTCTCAGGACCCCTGCACCTGCTGTGTCTTCTTCCAGGGATGTTTCCCCAGAGAGTCTCAGGGCTCCCATGCCTCCCCATCTAAGACAGCAGCCCCCCTTTCTTTTCCTTCACAGCACATGTCATGGCCTAAAAGGGCATTTTCTATACTCGTTCTGTATGTCCCCATTTACATGGTATATAGTGTTGTCTCCTGTCTTGACCAGCGGGTGTATCCTTGGCATGTAGGACAGTGCCTGGCTCCTCAACAAACCTCTGCTGACCGAATGAATGAAGGTGGGGACTCTGTCTTTTTTGTCTTTTTGGTACAAAAAGACACATCCCTGTACCATTGGATGTGTCCACTCTTAACACAGCCCATTATAGAATTATACATGGTATTATATACTTCCTGGTGTACTTCCAGACGGGTGCACTTCCATACTTCTAGACTTCCCTGGTTGCTCAGACGGTTAAGTGTCTGCCTACAATGTGGGAGACCTAGGTTCGATCCCTGGGTCAGGAAGATCCCTTGGAGAAGGAAATGGCAACCCACTCCAGTACTCTTGCCTGGAAAATCCCATGGATGGAGGATCCTGGTATGCTAGAGTCCATGGGGTCGCAAAGAGTTGGACATGACTGAGCGACTTCACTTTCATATGGTTATTATAAGATTAACCCAGCCCTTACATAGGAATAACAATTAAACAACTGACTGTTGAATCAATCATTTTCATGGCATGACTTGGAAATCTTTACTCTAAAAACTTGGAAAGTAGAGTGGTTTGGAGAAATAGCATTATATTTAATTAATTAGTTTTTATGTATTTATTTGACTGCATCGGATCCTAGTTGCAGCACACAGGATCTTCTTGCTTCATGTGGGATCTTCCGTTGCAACATACAACCTCTCCAGCTGTGATGCACAGGCTCAGACACTCTGAGGCATGTGGGATCTTAGTCCCCCTACGGGGCTGCCAGGGGTCTAACCTGTGTCCCCTTCATTGGCACATGGATCCCCAACTGCTGTATCACCTGGGAAGTCCCCTAAAAAGCGTCTGAAGTTTAGTCACTTGTCTGATGTCGTCAGGCTCATGAGAGGGACTGAGATGCAGTCTGCTGCCTCCAGACTCTCCGTCTGACTCACTCACAGGCTGAGCTCTGGCCCAGGTCCCTGAGATTTGCTCTGCGAGGGGCTCAGGCTCCCAGAGTACCTGCCTGGAGCCCTGCCCGTGGTCACTGGGGCCCTGGACCCACCCACTCGCTTTCTTGGAGGGACTATAGACCCTCTGGGGTGAGACTGGGGCTGAGTTCCTAGGGGTCTGCCTTTAAAATGTAGGAGCAGTCTGAGGGGTTACTATGAAAAACAAAACAAAACACTGAGGTTTGAATTCTGAGGAGGTCTTGGCTAAGAAAATTGTGTATCCTTTGAGCCTTGGCTGATTTTTCACTCTGATTGGGACTGTTTGGACTCTCATCTTTCATTTTCACATTCAGAAAGTTTTCAGTGCAAGTAAAAAAAAAAATTACTTCCTGGATGGGACTGGCATCACTTCCTGGGGGTCTGCCTTTAAAATGCAGCAGCAGTTTTTTTTATTGTAGAAAAGAAATTAAAGTTGCCATTGGAAGATTCCTGCTGTAATTTGGATTCCATTCTTTCATTTTCATGTTTGGAAGGTGTTCAGTCCTAGTGAAAAAAGGCTTGCTTCCTGAATGGGACTGGGAATGTTGTAGAGACTGATGGAAGCCACACTGGCATTAATTTTCTGTCTAGTACTATTTTGAAAGAAGTGTCTAGAAAATGCACTCTGGCAAAAGTTACCAAGAATCTATTTTTTTTGTTGCAATATGTATATCATTAATCATGAGTAATCACCTAGAAAACTGCCTAAGAAAAATGTACACATTTTCATATGACATAGATTCCTCTTTTCCATTCCTGCATAGAGATAAAAGTGTTTTAGTTCAGTCATGTTTAGGAATTTCAGTATTAGTTGTTTTTCTTTATGAAACATATAAATTGGTTAAGCTGAGTTTTAGGCAAAAAAGCCTTAGCTGTTAGTGCCTTCACAAGATTGCTTTTTAGAATTTTTTAGTGTAACTGTTCTTTAAAGTTTGCTGCTGATGCCTGTGAGGACCTAGTCAGATTAATTGATTTATGTTTATTCAATTTGTATTATTGATTTTGTATTTAAACTACAGATCTTTGCTGTGTTGTCTTTGTTTCATGTTTACAAAATATATTTCCAATTTGGAGCAGCCCCATTAATATGCTTGTGTATACTGTACATTTTACATTTGTAGGTGTATCTGTCAAGCCTTGAGGGAGAAGATCACAATCTTAGTGACTCATCAGTGGCAATACCTAAAAGCTGCAAGTTGGACTATGATATTGAAAGGTGTAAGTAATTTCTAGACGCCTGTGGAGCTTGCTAGCACTCAGGTGTGCTGAAAGCCAGGCGTCTCAGCAGGTCACTCTCTCCTTGGGTTCTCTCTCCTCTCCTCCCTCAGTTTTACAGCTTCTTCTTCTCAAAGGTGGTGTTCATGCCTTTGACGATGAATCCAAAGACCTGTAGAAATGTCACTACTATTCTCTAAGCCACATAAACCCTAAAGTGTATAAAAGTGCTACCACAGGGTTACTGAGTCATCACTGTTCCTGTGAAATTTGTTAAGGATAATGATGCTATTTTATACAGAACTTTTTGTTTTCCCCTTCCAGGATTTAAGTCAAAGTATATTATTTGCAAATTAGAGATACTAAGACCTGTTTGTATCTGCGGGATTGTCATACAGTTTGCTAAAGAGCATCTTCCATTAACACCAGAAGTGAGGCTGGGTATCTGAGCACCCAGGTCAGAGACGCCCACTCTGCTGGTGTCCCCAGTTGCTGGTCTCACTGTCTCTTTCCACACCTGATATGTGTGGGAGCCTGTGCAGCAGGACAATAAAGCTCTGCTTTATGGGGCTCCTGTTCTTATGGGGACAAATGTGACAAAGAGAGAGGGGTGGAGCTGATATCCTGGCTGCCTGCTTAAAGAGCTGGTGCCTCACGTGGCCTGAGTGACATGAAGGTGGGGGCCATGCAATCCCCTTTCATAGGCGGGTCTGAGGCAGGGGGTCCTAAGGAAGGAGCTGACCCAGCAGGTTGGAGGAATGACAGGAAGACCAGTGTGTCTGGGGAGAGTGAGCAGGGGGATGTGGAGGGAGCTGGTCTCTGAGCAGTGGGCCGTGGGTGGAAGTGAGATGGAAGTGTTGGACAGTCCAGAGCAGAGGAGTGATGTGGTCTGATGTGGGTTTTAAAAGATTCCTTACTATTTATCTGGTCCCATTTACAGAAGGGAGAGGAAGGCTGTCCTTTTGAAATTGTCAGTACTTGCTTGCAGAGTACAGTAGCAACCTTTGTACTCACTAGTCATTTCCTTGTGCATCTTACAGATGTAAAGTGGAAAGTGGTAATTTCATTTAAAAGGTATATGAATTTTGCCTCCCAAGTGAAATAACACAATATATAGTGAATAATTTTCCAGTTCTGTGGTGTCAGATGGTACCCAAAGTCTTCACTGAGTTTCTTCCAGGGGTCACCTCAGGGGATAGGGTGAGAGAGGGTCCAGCGAGGGTCCTGGGTCATCTTTTTCCACCTGACTTGTCTTAACCAGAGCTGCTCTCATTTTATGAATTTTTAATTTTAGGATTTTTTATAATATTTTGTTTGCCACTGACTAAATCAGCCGAGTCTTGTTTCATGGGGTGAGAAAATTGTGAAAATATCTGCAAATTATTTTATATGACTTTGTAAGGGAGGGAAACTGTGCAAGGATGGGTCACATGTGTTCAAAGAAAATAATTAGATTGGCTGTAGCGTAAACAGAGGCCTGATTTGGGGAAGCCTCGTTGGCTGCTTGTGGTTGGTTGTTCCTAGGTTTTTTTCTTGGATCTGGGTGCACTGACTGTGGCTTAGATTTTGGTTTGCTGGCTGCCAAGGCATTAGCACCACCCCAATCTCATGGCTTCCTTGTTTAGTTGCTTCAACAGGTGGAATATTGAATTTTCAGTTGGGAACTTCCTGCATTTGTGGGGAAGCTATAAAATACTGTGAAGATGCAGCTCCTGGGTTCTCTGTCCAGGGCTGGTTCCTACATGTCCTGTCCCAGCTAAGCATAAGATACTATGAAAATGACAGTGGTCAGTGAAGTTTTGATGAATGACTGTTACCTATGTAGTTGTGTCAGTATTTTTCTTTCCTGGAATATCCTCCCCAATTAATTTTTTAAAAAATTCTGCTTCTCACATGAGGCGTCTCTCAGTTCCCATGTCTAAAAAGACTGAGCTGATCCTTCCACCAGCCTCTGTACTTCTTGCTTCCCTAAGTGCTGACGGTAGTTATGTCAGTGGCCTCCATTCTTAACACACGATCACACATTTCTTTCATATTCCTCAGAACCTAACACAGGGTTTAGCAGAGAATAAAATGTTCTGTTCTGTGTAGAGTTGAACTGCATTAGATTTGTCAACCACAATGTCAGACCCAAGGATCATTTCCTTAGGGAAATCATAATTTATGACCAGTTAACTTTAGTTGATTAGTGTTCAGATTATGTTACTATTATCTAATGCAAATATATTCCTCTCAAATTCTTTATTTTAGGGCAAAATAGTACAATGTGGGACTTATATTGAGCTCCTGAAATCTGGGGTAGATTTTGATTTCCTTTTAAAGAGGAATGAGGAAGAACCATCTCCAGATCTGGAATCTTCTGCCCTGAAGAATCAGTCCAGACCCTTGATGAGAGGTGCTGCCCCAGAGCTCCAAGATGTGAGTTTCTCATCCCTCAACATGCTGCTGTATGTCTGCTCTTGGTAGACGCATGGACCTTCAGTCTGTTCCACTTGTGACATCTTCATTTGTCCTAAAGTAGACCCTAAGATTCCAAGGCCCTGTTCCATGGAACTGGTAGAGTTAGAAGAGCATGAAGGGAGCAAGCCTGCTTGTGGTTCCCCTTTGGGTGTAGGATGGAGGATCTTATGGAGACCAGGAGTGGGTGCACTGCTGTGACTTCCTGGGTATATGTGACTCACAATGATCTGTGAACTCTTTCACTTACCATAGTTACATCCTACTCACTGTGGTGGCCCCCAGCTTCCCTTATGCATCCATAGGCTTAATGTGAAGACCCCCTTAGACTGAGTCCTGATGTTGCCACATTAAATCAGCTACTTTTCCTATATGTTGGAATGTTCTGGCACTGCAGGTGACTGATGGTAGTATTTTGCCTTGGTGTCAGATGGTTTGTGACGGATCAGAGGTAGCCTGTGCAAAGGACCGATACATAGCAGACACTTTGGAGTTAGTGCCCATTTTCCTTTCTTATACTTTAAGACTGAGAACCACCTCTTATCCATCTTGAATCCCAGTGGCCACACAGGGCTGAGGTCACCCTTGGCTCCTGTAACTCTATAATGCGTCCTAAGTCCTCCAGACAGAAATGCAGAAATGCGCTAGATCTTCCTTAAAAACATACACAGGTATTCCGTGATATCCAAACCCTCACTATCGAGACCCAGGAGTGTGGATGATTCTGATAAACATTCAGGTTAGTCCTTCAGTTTCTAAACTCAGGAATCACTCTCTGAAATTTAGGCATCAAATAGATTCAGATTATATGCTTGTCTCTTGCTATCCAAACTCATTTTACTTCAACTCACTCTGTGGCCTCAGTTTACTGTATTAGGCAGTATTTTGAGCCACAAGTATGTTTTATGTTTCATGTTTCTATGATTGAGTGACACAAGGTATCTAGAAGGATACATAAGCTTCATATCATTTTGTGTATTAGTTTGGAACAAGCTTCTGCATTTGTACTTGAATCAGGTATATTGTTAGTGTGCTTAGAGTCATGATTGAATAACCTTGTACAAATGATGCTTTCTTATTTCTAACAGATTCTTAGGAGTGGGGTGGCTGGATCCAAGGGTAAATGCACACATGGTTTGATCAGATATTCCCACACTCCTCCTCTCCATAGGAGATGGACCATCTTGCACTCCTCCTAGTGTATGAGATATATCTGTTTCCCCACAGCTTTGTGGTGGAGGGTACTGTTAAACTTTTCACATTTGGGGATTCCTTATTTAAAATTTTGTCTCTCACTGCCGTTTTTCCCTCCCAGACTGAGAATATCTCTGTCACACTACCTCTAGAGGACCGCGTGGAGGGAAAAGTTGGTTTTAAGACCTACAATGATTACTTCACAGCTGGCACTAACTGGTTTACCATCATCTTCCTTATTCTAGTAAACATCGCAGCTCAGGTAAAGGAGACATGTACTTTGGTTTGTGCCCTCAGATTGATATTTACCTACTATTCATTCTGTATTTATTTTATAATTATTTTTAATATGTGTATTAAGAGATTTATCTCGAAGCCTAGGCCCATAAGACTGTGGGCCTAACTGGGTGAATGTGGAAACAGCAAGGCAGGCCTGCGGGCTGGAACCTCAGACAGGAGCTGACCCTGCTGTCTTGAGGTAGAATTTCTTCTTCCTCCAGGAAACCTCAGGTTTGGCTCTTCAGGCCTTTGACTGACTGGATGAGGCCATCACAGTGTTGAGGGTGATCTCCTCTACTTCAGTTCTGATGTTGGATGTGAACCACATCCACAGAACACCTTCACAGCAACATCTAGATGGATATTTGGTTGAATCACTGGAGACTGGCCTGCCCAACCTGACACAGACAGCTGACCATCACAGTACCTGTCATACTTTTTTTCTTGGAAAAGTCCCAACATTTGCCCTATGATTGGTGAATTTTGCAATTCATTTAGGTTTGCTTTGAAATAAGTTATCTGTGGGGAGCAAAGTAAATGAAGCTTATTGGTGTTGTGTGTACATGACAGAGAACTTCCAGGGAAAAAAAGAATATCTTTTAAAGAGTTTAAAATGTCGCATGCTCTCCCCTGACCTGCGGTCATCTGGGGTGTGGGGCTTGGCACAGACCTGAGGTGGAAGGACCTGTGTTCCACCTCAGGAACCGTGTTCTGGAGTCTTTCTGTCCCCCATCCTAGTGGGTGGGGTGTGAGGGCTCAGCAATATCAGTTTGTGAGTGACTGTCGTTTCCTGATCCAGGTTGCCTACGTCCTGCAGGACTGGTGGCTTCAGGATTGGTGAGTGATTTCTGGTCTGACCCAAAGTGCTGTGACGTCTACGCAAAGCCTCCCTTTCCCACAGAGTCAGGGGGCGAGGGAAGGGGGTTGTTTGGCCTCATCTTCTCACCCTCACATAGTTTCTCTGAAGAAAAACTAAAGTTCCTGCTGCTGGCATATGACCGTCCCATGGTGTCTCCCATGTCTGACCCTCAGCAACTTGCTCATAGATGATTTTGAGAACTGAAGGCTGTGATTAAAATAGAATCTTTCTAAGGTAGATGGACAGAGAGCCCTGTGAACTGGAAACCATTTTTCTAGCATAAAATGCATCTCCTAAATTGAGTTTTGTGGGTTTTTTTTACATTTGAATACATTCTATCTAAAGCATGGTTTTTTTTTCCCTGTTCCATAGGGCGAATTTACAAAATGCCCTGTATTTGGGGGTGTATGGAAAAGAAGAGATAATTGTGATACTCAGTCTGAACTGGTACTTAGGAGCCTATTCAGGTAAAGTTGAATCCTCTGGTCTATTATATAGAGTCTGAGGTGCTTATAAGGAGCCTGTGAGCACCTAGGGCTTCCAGGTCTATTTTATTTATTTATTTTCATTTATTTTTATTAGTTGGAGGCTTATTACTTTACAATATTGTAGTGGTTTTTGTCATACATTGACATGAATCAGCCATGGATTTACATGTGTTCCCNTGGATTTTGGTAGTTAAACCAGGATTGCACATTCAGAAAATCAGCCACTTTAAATACATGTTATTGTCTATTCTAATAGGTTGCTTTAGCTAAATTTTATATTGTTATATGGATGGGCAATGGGATTAGAAACAGATCCCTACTCTGTGGTTCAGATGGTTCCAATTCTGTCTGAATAAGCTCTGGCTTTTAGTGATCTTGCAGGTATGCAAAGTCCCCTTCACCACACTGCTCGTCTCTTGGGCATCACTAATTACTTGAGGAGCTAAGCAGGGGGAATCCAGTGTCTGGGGATAGATTCCTTCTCTTTCTTACCTTGAGTTCACAGTGTTATCTCATCTCCAGCTGTGTGATTAATTTAACATGTGACTAATATTAACATGACTCACTGTATTCACAAGAGCTTAGAATATATACAACATTACATAGTGTTTAAAGGATGTCTTCATCTAAAATTTGAAATAAAATTTTACCCATTCATTTGTTGATGGGTGTTTAGATTGCTTCCATGTCCTGGCTATTATAAATATTTGCTACTATTAATATTGGGGCATAATAATAAATAATAATAAAATAATAAACATTATAAAATAATTAATTTTAATTATAAATAAAAGTAATAAAATAATTTTTATTGGATTCTAAATGATTGGGCTTCTCTGGTGGCTCAGATGGTAAAGAATCTGCCTACAATGCAGGAAACCTGGGTTTGATCCCTGGACAAGGGAATGGCATCCAACTCCAGTATTCTTGCCTGCGATATCCCATGGACTGAGGAGCCTGATGGGCTATGGTCCATAGGGTTGTAAAGAGTTGGACATGACTGAAGTGACTTAGCATGCACACATAGATGATTAACAATGTTGTGATAGTTTCAGGTGGACAGCAAAGGCACTCAGCCATACATATATGTGTATTCATTCTCCTCCAAACCCCTTCCCCACCCCCCATCCAGGCTACCACATAACTGAGCAGAGTTCCCTGTGCTATACAGTAGGTTCTTGTTGGTTACCCACTTTAAATATAGAAGAGTGTACATGTTGATCCCAAACTCCCTAACTATCTCTTCCCCCTGACAACCATAATTTCATTCTCTTCTCTGTCAGTACATTTCTGTTACATAAATACATTCATTTGTATAATTTCTTTTTAGATTCCACCTATAAGGGATGTTTTACAATATTTCTCCTTCTCTGACTTACTTCATTCAGCCTGACAACTTCTAGGTCCATCCATGTTGTGGCAAATGGCATTATTTCATTCATTTTTATTGGCCCTGTAATAGTCCATTGTATGTATGTACCACCTCTTCTTTGTCCATTCCTGTCAATGGTTGCTTAGGTTGCTTTCACATGTTAGCTGCTGTAAACAGTGCTGCTGACATACTGTCAGCAAATTTGGAAAACTCAGCAGTGGCCGCAGGACTGGAAAAGGTCAGTTTTCATTCCAGTCCCTAAGAAAGGCAATGATAAAGAATGCTCAAACTACTTCACAAATGCACTCACTCACACGCTAGTAAAGTAATGCTCAAAATTCTCCAAGCCAGGCTTCAGCAATACATGAACCATGAACTTCCACATGTTCAAGCTGGTTTTAGAAAAGCCAGAAGGACCAGAGATCAAATTGCCAACATCTGCAGGATCATTGAAAAAGCAAGAGAGTTCCAGAAAAACATCTATTTCTCCTTTATTGACTATGCCAAAGCCTTTGACTGTGTGGATTACAATAAACTGTGGAAAATTCTGAAAGAGATGGGAATACCAGACCACCTGACCTGCCTCTTGAGAAACCTGTATGCAGGTCAGGAAGCAACAGTTAGAACTGGACATGGAACAACAGACTGGTTCCAAATAGGAAAGGCTGTATATTGTCACTGTGCCTATTTAACTTATATGCAGAGTACATCATGAGAAAGACTGGGCTGGATGAAGCACAAGCTGGAATCAAGATTGCCGGGAGAAATTTCAATAACTTCAGATGTGCAGATGACAGCACCCTTATGGCAGAAAGTGAAGAAAAACTAAAGAGCANAGTCTATCCTGAAGGAGATCAGTCCTGGGTGTTCATTGGAAGGACTGATGTTGAAGTTGAAACTCCAATACTTTGGCCACCTGATGTGAAGAGCTAACACATCTGAAAAGACCCTGATGCTGGGAAAGGTTGAAGGGAGAGAATGAGATGATTGTATGGCATCACCGACTCAATGTACATGGGTTTGGGTGAAGTCTGGGAGTTGGTGATGTACAGGGAGGCCTGGAGTGCTACAGCTCATGGGGTGGCAAAGATTCAGACATGACTAAGCAACTGAACTGAAACAGTGCTGCAATGAACATTGGGGAGCATATATCCTGGTATGTATCCTTTTGGACCATGTTTTTCTCTGGGTATATGTCTAGGAGTGGGACTCCTGGACTACCAGGAGTCATATGGTAGTTCTATTTTTAGTTTAAGGAACCTCCATACTGTTCTCCATAGTAGTTACAATTTACATTCCTACATACAGTGCAAGAGGGTCCCCTTCTCTCTACAGCCTTCGCAGCATTTATTGTTTGTAGATTTTTTGCTGATGGCCATTCTAGTGTGAGGTGTTAGGTGGTATCTCATTGTAGTTTTGATCTGCATTTCTCTAATAATTAGTGATATAGAGTGTTTTTTAATGTTGGCCATCTCTATGTTTTCTTTGGGGAAATGTCTACTTACGTATTCCACTCATTTTTTGATTGGATTGTTTGTTTTTTGATATTGAGCTGCATAAGCTGTTTGTATATTTTGAAGGTTAATCCTTTGTCAGTTGCTTAGTTTGCAGTTATTTTCTCCCATTCTGAGGATTGTCTTTTCATCTTGTTTTTGGTACCTATATATAATGAACTATTATTCAGCTACAAAAAAGAATGAAATTAGCTCATTTGTAGAGACATGGGTGGACCTAGAGTCTATCATACAGAGTAAAATAAGTCAGAAAGAAAAACAAAAAAGATGCTTATATTAACACATATATGTGAAATCAGGAAAAATGGTAGAGATGAACCTATTTGCAAGAATAGAGATGGTGATGTAGAGAACATATGTGTGGACACATGTGGGGGAGGTTTAGGAGATGAATGGGGAGATAGGATTGACATATATACACTACTATGTGTAAAGTAGATAGCTAGTGGGAACTTGCTGGATAGTACAGGGAGCTCAGTTCAGTGCTCTCTGAGGTCATAGAGGGGTGGGATTGGTGAGAGGGTGAGGTCCGGGAGGAGGGGATATATGTATATATTGCTAATTTACTTCCTTGTACAGAGAGTAACACAACATTGTAAAGCAACTATACTCCAGTAAAAAAATAAATATATAAACAAAAATATCCCCACAGGAAACACTTGTATAAACTTTCTACAAAGAATGTGTTACGTAAAAATTTACTCATTGAAATTTGGTATTTATTTTGTTAATCACTTGCTAAGAAATCTAATACATTTGCTGTTTACCTTCTTAATTGGTGGACTATGGAGGCTTAAAGCAAGAAGGAAAGGATTCTATTATATAATCATATAGGATAGTGGGCTAAGGCAAATGCTTGTTGATGGAATTCAGGAATTGGAGCAGGTTTCAGAGTTTAACACTGATATGTCAGCTGAATGGAAAAAGAGTACTTGAAGGAATATTTATTACAAAAGTCATCACCCGTTTATTTACCATTGTGAGTTGAAGAGATGTTCAGAGGGCTATTTTCATTTTTATATGCATCAGTTCAGTTCAGTTGCTCAGTCCTGTCTGACTGTTTGCCACCCCATGGACTGCAGTACCCTTGCCTTCCCTATCCATTACCAATTCCCAGAGTTTACTCAAACTCATGTCCATTGAGTCAGTGATGCCATCCAACCATCTCATCCTCTGTCATCCCCTTCTCCTCTTGCCTTCAATCTTTCCCAGCATCAGGGTCTTTTTCAATGAGTCAGCTCTTCACATCAAGTGGCCAAAGTATTGGAATTTCACTTCCACATCAGTCCTTCTAATGAACACTACAGACTGATTTTCTGCAGGATGGACTGGTTGGATCTCCTTGCAGTCCAAGGGACTCTCAAGAGTCTTCCCCAACACCACAGTTCAAAAGCTTCAATTCTTTGGTGCTCAGTTTTCTTTATAGTCCAACTCTCGCATCCATACAAGACCACTGGAAAAACCATAGCCTTGACTAGATGGATCTTTATTGGAAAAGTAATGTCTCTGCTTTTTAAATGCTGTCTAGGTTGGTCACAACTTTTCTTCCAAGGAGTAACCATCTTTTTATTTCATGGCTGCAGTCACCATCTGCAGTGATTTTGGAGCCAAAAAAATAAAGTCAGCCACTGTTTCCACTGTTGTTCCATCTATTTGCCATGAAGTGATGGAACTGGATGCCACGATCTTTGTTCTCTGAATGTTGAGCTTTAAACCAACTTTTTCACTCCTCTCTTTCACTTTCATCAACAGGCTCTTTAGTTCTTCATTTGTGCCATGAGGGTGGTGTCATCTGCACATCTGAGGTTATTGAAATTTCTCCCGGCAATCTTGATTCCAGCTTGTGCTTCATCCAGCCCAGCATTTCTCATGATGTACTCTGCATGTAAGTTAAACAAGCAGGGT